ATGCTCATTTTTCCGCGCAGCCCAAAATACGCTCGGTGACGGAGCGGTCGCCGACCGGGCACCGACCCAATCGACTATTCACCGTCGAGTGCTTTAAGTGACTCTCACACTCTGCCGTGTAGGCCTACCGTGTGCCACCGTGCGCGAAAATGTCTGCGGACGGTGGAGAACGGCGAGGGCACACGGTGGTTCGTGATGAAAAATGGAGAGCGGACTGACCGTTGCCGTTCAAATCGGGGTATTTATGGCAGTCGTGTCATGACGTCAGCAGTCCGGGGACTCGCTCACAGGACGCTCCGAGCGGTGAGGGGACGCTAAGTGACTGGTAGGTGGCTGCTACAAACCCGGTGCACACGTTCGAGACCCGGTATGGGCCCGGTATGGAAACGGCCAAAATTTTCAACAAAAGTCAATCTGGGCGGTGAATACGGTAGAAGCACGTTCAACACCCGGTATGCGCCCGGTGAGAACGGTCAGAAGATGGCAACGAAACGGTGAAAAGATTAATTTTATGAATTTTTTTTGCGGCCGGGGACAAGTTCGCTCAAAACCCAACGTTCTGGACTCTGTTGTTTTTTTAATAGCCCGGCAGGTGGACGGTAGGCCTACACGGCAGAGTGTGAGAGCTCCATTAGGTTAAAAATGGAAGCCACTAGGTCAAATGCTGCCGAACGGTCATCGCCCGGTCGCCGTCCGTTCACCGCCGGGAGATCAGTCGGTCACTAGGCAGCGAATTCAAAATCGGTCGGTAACCTTTGACCTAGTGGCTTCGATTTTTGACCTAAATCGCTCAAAGGCTAACGCTCGATTAGGTCGGTGCCCGGGTGGCGACAGCCCGGGCACCGAGCGTATTTTTGACTACGAGACACCCGCAGATGCCCCGCCGATCACTGGGCGAACACCTGGCGACCAACGGCCGGCCTCCGGTCAATAAAAATCAGCCGATGGCCTGTGGGAGACCGACCGGGAATCGGCGGGCCATCAATCGGTCACTGCCTGAACGCCGCGTGAAGGAGCCCTTTTGATTTCGAGGGGAGCGACCTACAAACATGTTTTATTGCTGTCTGGGGGCGCTCTGACGCAACACTTGTGGTGATGTGACCATAGATTTTAAATTAGATGTGGTCAGTTACATGATTCCTCTTTGTGACCATAGGCGTTCGTGTACTTTTAAACCCAAGAGTTCTCTCTTCGACGGACAAAATCCGTGTCTTGGTGTTGTGAAGTATTTGAATAACACTTACACATGCGGAGGTAATACTCTAAATTTTAAGGAGGAATAGAAGTAGGAAATATAAGGGGGCATAACGATGAAAGTTTGAAAAAGGTCGGACAAAAAGAAAGGATTCATGAATGTGATAAAAGATTATTCTTATTTATATGATTTTATTTCTGCAGTCTTCCAAACATAATAATTGAATAACAAAGAACATAATTATGCACGTAAAATATAATACATATTATACAAACATTATCTTCATGTCAAATTGTTTTTGTACATAAAAATATGTAATTACGAAACTTGATATATCTATCCTAAGTCCTATCCTAACTAGTTATGTGGAAAAAGTGCTAGAGACCGTAATCATTAGCGATGCTTGACTAGGATGGCGGCCTCATGAAAAAATAAAATGAAAATGTGTTTGAGTATTTGAGTATGAGTTTATGACTGTGTTGTGTGAGTGTTTATTTTGTGCGTGTGTGTGTGTGTGCATATGCGCGCGGTCGTAGGTTTTGTATGTGTGTGTAGCAAAAAGTTGATATGCACGTGGCTCTGTGTTGTATGGTGGAGTGGAAACAAATTTATCCTTTTTAATAAAGGAAACATAGAATACGAAATAGAATACGAAATATGCAAAAATGAGTTGCAGTGTGACCAACGTTTAAGATATCAATGATAATTGCCTTCTTCTATCTTCCAAAATTACAAAAGTGTATATCAAGCTACAGTTTGAAACGAAAACGAAAAGTTTGAAAACTGTAAGTCTCCCCCGAGTTCTACTGCTACGAAAACGACGTGCAGTCACAAGGTATTTTGCCTCTTTGGCTAATAGCAGAAGATGGCACTATTTAATCCAATCAGCACTAATATTCCGGCCCCGTAATTTTCATGAGATATGTCATTAAAAATAACTTCCAAAATATAATTCATCAACAAACTATTTATTTATTTATTTATTAAGTTTTATTTCAGTAGGGTGGTTTTATTCAAGCTCAAAAAATAAATGGCCTGCTTTCCAAAAAAAGCCCTATATTATAAAGGTACATAAAATAACATTACATTTCAAACGCTTCGTTTAAAAATGTTGAATCTAAGATGCATGGCCATACTTTTTATCAGTGTCTGTGATATGGTGTAATATTGAAGACCTATTAGTCAGGTCTGTCCCTAACGTTTTGTTAACAGACCTGACTAAGACCAACTGATAACCACGTGAAATTAAGAGCACAAATTATAAATATAGGTGTATAGTTCTTTGGTAATGCGTATAACATTTAATTTATCCCTCAGGAACAACACTAGGAACAACCACAGGAACAACACCAGGAACAACACTGGTAGCAACACCTAGAACACTGGGAACCTCACCAAGTACTACACCAGGCACAACACCAGGTTAGGTCAAGTTTTGTTTAGGGGTTTAAAATTAAACACCATATAGTATTTTCAATAATTTTCGTTTTCTGAAAATCATGAGGGTTTCGCCTCTGTTAGCAGCTTTAAGCAATTGTCACACTTTAAATATGTTATTTTTAATGCCAAAAAGCAACTGATAACCATGGTTTAACCTACATATTTTCGAAATCTAGTTTTTCAGGAAAACAAATTGAATGCTAAAATTTAAAGTTTGAAAACACCTCTCTGGTGAATGGAAATGCCTTTTAAAGAGTTTCCATGCGTAGCCTTTCGTGTATCACCATACAGCCGAAATGCGAAAGAGGCAAGGGAATTATGTCTAAGTTTTTTTTTAATCAGTCATGCTCACTTATACGTTTATTTTTATGACGGAACTTGCTCTAATCAAGATTTGGCCCTGGTGAAAAAAGGCAGTTCATGATAATATACTAAGTATTGTAACTAGATGTCACTCGGTAGAGTGTCATAAAATTCTTTAGTACTTTTCTCAATATACAGATTGCGTTCAGACCTTTAGAACAAATAATTTATTGCATTATCAATAATTATACAATTAAATTTCATTTATTTCCACAGATTCATAAAAGAAGATTACAATCGAATATTACATCATTAAAACAAAATATGAACTTGAAGTGCGGGTGATAAAAGACCACGGAGGTTTATCGGGGATCATCCCCTGCTTAAAATTACAATATTAAAGTACAATAATTTTATTTTTAATTATACACTAACCATATACACAAATATACATACAAATTACGAGGAAATCTATGTGTGGGGTGAGTTGTAGTAGCATTTACAAAGAACATCTCATTAAAAATACATGGCAGCTGATTTTTCTGGAAAAGAAACATAAACTGATCAAGTTGCATAATTATAATATAAAGATTTCATATTTAAAATTGTCGAGCGTTTATACAAGGGTGCAGTATGTGGTTAGATGACCACATCGCAACTCAAAGGTATGTTGAAACATTCAAAAGGGATAGATATAAAAGCTTGCGTTTCCATAATTTTATCAAACGAGTTCGTTTTCACTGGCTGCCTGCCGTAGCAACAAACAGAGTTGGCAAAAGACTTAAGTCCGTTTCGTTGACAATCAGCCATGCACGAAGTCTTTCGTCTGTGTCATTTATTAATTATAAATCTGACTATGATAAAACATCGATATCATTGTGATTAAGTTATGATTAAACATCGATAATTCTCGGTTTCGTTTTTTTTCTGTGACGCACTGTATAATGAAAAAAATATCATATATTTCACAACAATTGTATTACATACAGTGGCACTTGTTTTATGTTATAATCTTTCACTTCTCACATAGTTTTATCTTCGTCTTGCCTGGTGCGTGATATTATATATGTATCCCGCTCTGGTCCAGATGTAATAATGTCATAATCTAATGATGTGATAGGGAACATTATTTGATAATTTGAAAACAAAATGTTGTAACAAGAAAATACAAATAAACTATTTATGCATATGGGTTTTGTCTTCCTTCAGAAAGTCAGATTTTATGTGAAAGGATACAGGACACAATCGACTGTGGGGAGCGACATATAAACATGGTTTCTGCCGTCTGGGGGCGCACTGACTACAGCACTTGTGGTAATGATGCTACCACAGATTGTACATTAGATGTCATCAGTTACATGATTCCTCGATGTGACCATAGGAGATCGTGTACTTTTAAACCCAGAAATGGTATCTTCGGCGGAGTAAACCCATGTTCTGGTGTCGACAAGTACTTGAATGTAACATACATATGCGAAGGTAATATTCTACATTTTTAGGGGGAATAAAAGTAGGACCAGTAAGGGGGCATAGCGATGAAAGTTTGAGAAAGGTCGGAACAAAATGAACAAGTTATGAAATTTATAAAAGATCATTCTATCTTCCAAAATTCCTGAGGTGTAAATCGAGCTACAGGGTAGAACAAAAATGAAGGTTGAAAACTGTAAGCCTATCCCGAGTCCTACAGCTATAAAAACACCTTGCTATCACAAAGGTATTTTGCCTCTTTGCTAACCGCTCTGGTCCAGATGAAATAATGGCATAATTTAATGCTTTGACAGGGAACATTATTTGATAATTTGAATAAAATGTGTCAGAAGATAATACACGTGAAATATCAATGCATATGGGTTTTTTCATCTGTATTTCTTCTATCTTCTACAGATGTTCAGATTGTTTGTAACAACCAAGAGGCAATAATCGACTGTGGGGAGCGACATATAAACATTGTCTCTGCCATCTGGGGGCGTACTGACGACAGCACTTGTGATAGTGATTCGACCACAAATTGTACATTAGATGTGATCAGTTACATGATTCCTCTATGTGACAATCAGCAATCGTGTACTTTTAAATCCAACAGTTATCGCTTCGGCAGTCAAGATCCGTGTCTTGGTATCAACAAGTACTTGAATATCACTCACACATGCGGAGGTAATACTCTTTTTTTTTAGGAGGAATAGAAGTGGGACAAATGAGGGGGCATAGCATTTAAGTTTGGAAAGGTCGGAACGAAATGAACGAGTTATGAAATTGATAAAAGATCATTCTATCTTCCAAAATTACAGAAGGGTGAATCAAGCTACAGTGTAGAACAAAAATGAGAAAGGTTGAAAACTGTTAGCCTCCCCCTAATCATATCGTTATAAAAACGTCTTGTTATCACAAAGGTATTATGCCTTCGTGCATACGCGAAATAATTATGGGGGGGGGGGGGAGGAAACATTGAAGAAACAAAGTTTGTATACAGTAGGCTTGCGGGTGCACCTTGTGAGAGAGAGAGAGAGAGAGAGAGGAGAGGATTGAGGAGTCCTGCAAAGGACTCTCGGTAATCTTTCTTGAGGGTTTGTAGTCCTGAAAAGGACTGTTTGGTATAGTCTTATAAAAGACTGCTGGTTATATTTCTTAGCTTATAGTTCTAAGGAGAACTATAGCGCTTGGAGAGGATGAGGGGCGGGAGTGGCTCGACGTTTCGAACAGGTTGACTATCCGTCGTCAGGAGTGTCGACGGGAGTGTCGACAGGAGTGTTCACTCCTGACGACGGATAGTCAACTTACCGAGAGTCCTTTTCCGGACTCCTCAATCCTCCCTCTCTCTCTCTCACATGGTGCACCCGCAAGCCTACTGTATATCTACATCACCATGCAAGCCAACACTTACAAGCAGCATCTAACAAAGTTTGTATCTTTTAACACACAGGTCTCATATGCTACTGGTTGATCATCTCTATGTAATAATTTTATTTTTGATAACTTTTGCAAACAGGCTACCCAGTTGAGCGTCAACCTAGGGTTCCAGGTTTCTTACTTTGCAAAAAATATATAAATAGGTCTCAATTGCATCTAATGTACTTCATTGCTATTTTACATACAGCCAAAATGTTTATTCCTTATGTCAAATGCTTTTTTTAACAACTTGTTTGTTGCATTGCTTTGAAAATTTAATGTTATAGTAATCAAACTTAATCTGTAATTTATCCGGCCCGTGCTAACTTTCTAGATTTGTAGTACATTAGCTATTTTAGCTAGTGATTTAGATACAGCCACTCATTTTATGTCTAATACTTTTATTTAAAATCAGTTTGTTGCATTGCCATTAGATTCAAGAGTTATAGTAATCAAACCAAATCTATAATTCAACAGGACCATGGTAGCTTTCTTATGATACTAAAAATGTATGTATCGATGTGTCAGTTTTGAATGGGACACCCCACATATTGTATGTATACGTTTACTTATTGAACGGGAAATATTGTACAGAATATTGAACAGTAATTTTAATTTTAATTTGCATATAAATTAGAAATACGAACAACACCGACAACAAGTCAGATGACACCAACGACGATGCAATCGACACAGATGATCACATCGCAACCCAAAGGTATGTTGAAACGCTCAATAGTGATAAAGATGAAAGTTAACACAGAACCTTTAAAAATCACAAACACACACCCACACAAGCCCCACACACCCTTCCCCACATACACACTCACGCCTTAAAGGTACTATGTCCCTTTTGCAGGCCAAACAAATGAAAAGGTTAAATTCCAATGGCATTTGAATGAAATACTAATTTAGAACTCCCCTTAAAGAAATGGGGCTTGAAAATGTCTTTAAGTGGGCAAATAACGCCTATTAGTTTTTAAATCGACTTAGGAGCTATAGAGCCAATAGGTAATAGTCTTGATTTTCAGACCATTGTACCGCATGGTCGTACATTTTATGCTGCGCAAAGATTCAATCATTTTAATTTTGGCCATTACAAGAAGTGGGTTATTGATGTAGACAAATCCTTTACAGCTCATTTTATGTATGTTATTACCTCAGAAAAAGAAAAAGCCAGTCAGTCACTCAATACTGACAATAGTGTCTTACAGTGAAGTCTAGCAAGTAAACGGGTTTCCTTGCATAATTTGAATATATGGACACTGCTAACGTTTACATTTCACAGATGAGACATACATGACATATTCATAATTCCTGCAAAGTTCTACAGAATTTGGGGTTGGCTGCAAAATGCACATAGCATCTTTAACACACGCACTCTAACTCAAACGTATCCACATACACACACATAATAATAATGAAAACAAGATCATATATTTCACAACAAATATATTACATATATTACATATTTCACTTCTCATATAGTTTTACCGATTAGGTCGGTGCCCGGGTGGCGACAGCCCGGGCACCGAGCGTATTTTTGACTACGAGACACCCGCAGATGCCCCGCCGATCACTGGGCGAACACCTTGCGACCAACGGCCGGCCTCCGGTCAATAAAAATCAGCCGATGGCCTGTGGGAGACCGACCGGGAATCGGCGGGCCATCAGTCGGTCACTGCCGGAACGCCGCGCGGATGAGCCTCTCGATTTCGCGGGGAGCGACCTATAAACATGTTTTTTGCCGTCTGGGGGCGCACTGACGACAACACTTGTGGTGATGCGACCATAGATTTTAAATTAGATGTGGTCAGTTACATGATTCATCTTTGTGACCTTAGGCGTTCGTGTACTTTTAAACCCAAGAGTTCTCTCTTCGGCGCACAAAATCTGTGTCTTGGGGACAAATACTTGAATAACACTCACACATGCGGAGGTTTTAAGGAGGAATAGAAGTAGGAAAAATGAGGGGGCAGAACGATGAAAGTTTGAAAAAGGTCGGACAAAAAGAAAGGATTCATGAATGTGATAAAATATCATTCCTATTTATATGATTTTATTTCTGCAGTCTTCCAAACATAATAACTGAATAACAAAGAACATATGCACGTAAACTATAATACATCATATACAAACAATATCTTCATGTCAAATTGTTTTTGTACATATAAACATGTAATTACGAAACTTGATATATCTATCCTAAGTACTATCCTAACTAGTTATGTGGAAAAAGTGCTAGAGACCGTAATCATTAGCAATGCTTGACTAGGATGGCGGCCTCATGAAAAAATAAAATGAAAATGTGTTTGAGTATTTGAGTATGAGTTTATGACTGTGTTGTGTGAGTGTTTATTTTGTGCGTGTGTGTGTGCATATGCGCGCGGTCGTAAGTTTTGTATGTGTGTGTAGCAAAAAGTTGATATGCACGTGGCTCTGTGTTGTATGGTGGAGTGGAAACAAATTTATCCTTTTTAATAAAGGAAACATAGAATACGAAATAGAATACGAAATATGCAAAAATGAGTTGCAGTGTGACCAACGTTTAAGATATCAATGATAATTGCCTTCTTCTATCTTTCAAAATTACAAAAGTGTATATCAAGCTACAGTTTTAAACGAAAACGAAAAGTTTGAAAACTGTAAGTCTCCCCCGAGTTCTACTGCTATGAAAACGACGTGCAGTCACAAGGTATTTTGCCTCTTTGGCTAATAGCAGAAGATGGCACTATTTGATCCAATCAGCACTAATATTCCGGCCCCGTAATTTTCATGAGATATTCATTAAAAATTACCTCCAAAATATAATTCATCAACAAACTATTTATTTATTTATTAAGTTTTATTTCAGTAGGGTGGTTTTATTCAAGCTCAAAAAATAAATGGCCTGCTTTCCCCCAAAAGCCCTACATTATACAGGTACATAAAATAACATTACATTTCAAACGCTTCGTTTAAAAATGTTGAATCTAAGATGTATGGCCATACTTTTTATCAGTGTCTGTGATATGGTGTAATATTGAAGACCTATTAGTCAGGTCTATCCCTAACGTTTTGTTAACAGACCTGACTAAGACCAACTGATAACCACGTGGAATTAAGAGCACAAATTATAAATATAGGTGTATAGTTCTTTGTTAATGCGTATAACATTTAATTTATCCCTCAGGAACAACACTAGGAACAACCACAGGAACAACACCAGGAACGACACCTGTGACAACGCCAGCTACAACACCTGGAACAAAACCTGGAACAACACCTGGAACAACACCGGTAACGACGCCAGCTACGACACCGGGAACAACACCTGGAACAACACCCGGGACAACTCCTGTAACAACACCTGGAACAACACCAGTAACAACGCCAGCTACGACACCTGCAATAACACCTGGAACAACACCAGTAACAACGCCAGCTACGACACCTGCAACAACACCTGGAACAACTCCGGGAACCACACCAGGTACTACACCAGGCACAACACCAGGTAAGGCCAAGTTTTGTTTAGGGTATGAAGCTAGACATACTATTGTACTTTTAAGGATTTTGGATCTGAATGTTATGTGGTTATTGCCTCTGTCAAGACCTTAAAGCACTCGTCACACCTAAAATATGTAATTTGGAATGCCAAACAGCTTCTGATATCCATGTAAAACTAAGCGCAGAAATCTTGAATATAGGTGTAGAGTTCTTTAGTAGTTGTTATAACATTAAATTTATCCAGTAACAACGCCAGGAACAACACACAATACAACTCCTGGAACGACACCTGGAACAACGCCAGCTACGACACCGGGAACAACGGCAGGAACAACAACCCCTGGAACAGCAACGGTAACAACGCCAGGAACAACACCCGGAACAACTCCTGGAACGACACCTGAAACAACACTTGGAACAACACTTGAAACTACGCCAGCTACAACACCGGGAACAACCCCAGGTACAACACAAGGAACAACGCCTGGAACAACACCTGGAACCACTCCAGCTACAACACCTGCAACAACACCTGGAACAACACCAGGCACAACACCAGGTAAGGTAAAAAAAAAATTGGTTTAAAGAGAAACACATTACTGTACTTTAAAGAAGTTGGGTTTTCTGAATGTCATGTGGCCAGTGCCTTTGTAAGATGTGTTAACATTTGTCATATCCAAAGCCAAACATCAACTGAAAATCAAGTAAACTAAGCGCAGATATCTTCTTTAGTTCTATATCAATACATATAACTTTTGATGTTTTCCCTCAGGAACAACTCCCGGAACAACACCTAGAACCACACCAGCTACGACACCTGCAACAACCCCAGGAACGACAGCCGGAACAACACCTGAAACAACGCCTGGAACAACGCCTGGAACAACACCAGGCACAACACCAGGTACTACACCAAGCACCACACCAGGTAAGGTCAAAAAAAAATTGGTTTTAAAGACAGACACATTACTGTACTTTAAAGGAGTTGGGTTTTCTGAATGTCATGTGGCCAGTGCCTTTGTAAGAAGTGTGAACATTTGTCATTTCCAAAGCCAAACAGCAACTGATAATCAAGTAAACACAGCGAAGATATCTTATATATAGGTATTTAGTTCTATATCAATACATATAACTTTTGATGTTTTCCCTCAGGAACAACTCCTGGAACAACACCTGGAACCACTCCAGCTACAACACCTGCAACAACCCCAGAAACGACAGCCGGAACAACCCCTGGAACAACGCCTGTGACAACGACAGCCGGAACAACACCTGGAACAACGCCTGGAACAACACCAGGCACAACACCAGGTACTACACCAGGCACCACACCAGGTAAGGTCAAATTTTTTTGGTTTTAAAGACAGACACATTACTGTACTTTAAAGGAGTTGGGTTTTCTGAATGTCATGTGGCCAGTGCCTTTGTAAGAAGTGTGAACATTTGTCATATCCAAAGCCAAACATCATATAAAAATCAAGTAAACTAAGCGCAGATATCTTCTTTAGTTCTATATCAATACATATAACTTTTGATGTTTTCCCTCAGGAACAACTCCCGGAATAACACCTAGAACCACTCCAGCTACAACACCTGCAACAACCCCAGGAACGACAGCCGGAACAACCCCTGGAACAACGCCTGTGACAACGCAAGCTACAACACCTGGAACAACACCTGGAACAACACCAGGCACAACACCAGGTACTACACCAGGCACCACACCAGGTAAGGTCAAATTTTTTTTGGTTTTAAAGAGAGACACATTACTGTACTTTAAAGAAGTTGGGTTTTCTGAATGTCATGTGGCCAGTGCCTTTGTAACAAGTGTGAACATTTGTCATTTCCAAAGCCAAACAGCAACTGAAAATCAAGTAAACTAAGCGCAGATATCTTATTTAGTTCTATATCAATACATATAACTTTTGATGTTTTCCCTCAGGAACAACTCCCGGAACAACACCTGGAACCACACCAGCTACAACACCTGCAACAACCCCAGGAACGACAGCCGGAACAACACCTGGAACAACACCTGGAACAACACCAGGCACAACACCAGGTACTACACCAGGCACCACACCAGGTTAGGTCAAATTTTTTTAGAGCTCTGTCTAAACTTTGCTAGGTCCCTCTACTGTAACTTTCGTGAGTGGTTACCTGAAAGCCAGTGTTCTCGAAGACAATTGAGACACAGTAATAGGCTACGTGAAATCAATTGTAGGACAGAACGCTACAGAAAAAGTGCTTTACCCTATCTAGTAAGGCTTTTGAACCAGCTATGATGTGGCATCCGGTTTGTTTAACTTTTTTGATAGCATAATACTGCCAAACTTTGTGAATTATATGTATTTTTGTCATTATAACTTCAATTTCTGTATCAAGATACAAATAAGGTCATCTTTAGTAACCTCATTTCTTTCCCATGTTTTTTTTTTCTTTATATGAATTATTGCCAGTTACCTAAAGCCTCTTTTAAATCACAATTTGTTCATTATGATTCATTTTCAAATTGCAATCTTTGCCTGAACCCATCTACAATTCGTCGAATCTTAATGCATTATATTTCAGATTCAATTAAATATCTTGGATTGAACAATTATATTATTGCTAAATGTAGAAACATAATGTAAATATTTTCAATACGCTTTACCTCAATTTATCAGTTAATTATCTTTACTCTTCGTATTGTATACTGTCGATTTCATAATTACATGTATTATTTTAAATTGCCTCTGGTTGCTCGTTGTTTTATCTTAACGCTATTAGATTACGCAGGTCTGCAATTACTCCTTTTGAATCTTGCTTCTCTGCTATATCCGCCTGTATTTAGTTGTTATGTATAAATATTTTCTTAAACAGGTTGTTATTATACTTTTTAAAATGTTTTTACTACCATCTGCGTTAAAAAAGAAAACATTCTCATTTATACATTTTACAACTTACCAAATAATTGTTAGGTAAGCCATAGTAATAATAATGGAGGGTTCTTGTATAGCGCTCATGTCAGTCAGATTTTTGTTCTTCTTATTAGTACTATTCGTAATGTCAATGTTGCAATGCATACTTTTATTTTTTTTTATCGTCAATTTGTATGTAATTTTTAATTGTTGGCAAGTTCCCCTTCTCTCCTCCCCCTTCTTTACCTCTTGCCGCTCTCTCTCTCTCTCTCTCTTAGTTCTTCCTCTTTCTCTTTCTCTTTCTCTCTCCTTCACCTCTTTCTCTCCTTCCTCTCTCTCTCTCTCTTTCTCTCTTTCTCCATCTTTCTATCTTTCCTGCTCTTTCTCTTTCCTGCTCTTTCCCTTATTAATACCACGTTTAATAAAGAATTACAAAATGTATATCAGTGGTTAAAATGTAATAAGTTAATTATAAATATGTCTAAAACTAACTATATGGTTTTTAGCAATATGAATTATAATATTGATGATATAAGAATCCATATGGACAAATCCCAACTATTACATACAAATCATACCAAATTTTTAGGTGTTCATATAGATGAATCCATGTCTTGGAAATATCATTTAGGAGATGTTTGTTCTAAAATTTCTCAAGTTGTTGGTATCCTATATCGCCTGCGCAATTTATTACCCGAAAAAATGCTTCTTACTATTTACAATACCCTTTTCCTACCCCACATATCATACTGTAATATAAATTGGGGTGGCTGTCCTAAGTCATATTCTGATAGAGTCTTTAAACTACAAAAAAAAAGCCATTCGCCTGATATCAAAATCCTCGTATAACTCTCATTCTGCTCCGCTATTTCATAAGCTCAATGTATTAAGCCTATCCGATATTTGTCAGCTACAAACTGGTATGTTCATGTATAAATGTAAAAATCGCTTATTCCCTCGTTATATTACTGATCTATTTCCTATAAATGCAAGTATTCACTCTTATCAAACTCGGTCTTCTAATGATTTTCATTTCCCAAAATACATGTTTCAATAAATACCATACCCATACCAATTTTTTGGTTTTAAAAAGAGACACATTACTGTACTTTAAAGAAGTTGGGTTTTCTGAATGTCATGTGACCAGTGCCTTTGTAAGAAGTGTGAACATTTGTCATATCCAAAGCCAAACATCAACTGAAAATCAAGAAAACTAAGCGCAGATATCTTATTTAGTTCTATATCAATACATATAACTTTTGATGTTTTCCCTCAGGAACAAGTCCCGGAACAACATCTGGAACCACACCAGCTACAACACCTGCAACAACCCCAGGAACGACAGCCGGAACAACACCTGCAAAAACGTCTGCAACAACACCAGGCACAACACCAGGTACTACACCAGGCACCACACCAGGTAAGGTCAAATTTGTTTTGGTTTTAAAGACAGACACATTACTGTACTTTAAAGGAGTTGGGTTTTCTGAATGTCATGTGGCCAGTGCCTTTGTAAGAAGTGTGAACATTTGTCATTTCCAAAGCCAAACAGCAACTGATAATTAAGTAAACACAGCGCATATATCTTGAATATAGGTATTTAGTTCTATATCAATACATATAACTTTTGATGTTTTCCCTCAGGAACAACTCCTGGAACAACACCTGGAACCACTCCAGCTACAACACCTGCAACAACCCCAGGAACGACAGCCGGAACAACCCCTGGAACAACGCCTGTGACAACGCAAGCTACAACACCTGCAACAACACCTGGAACAACACCAGGCACAACACCAGGTACTACACCAGGCACCACACCAGGTAAGGTCAATTTTTTTTTTGGTTTTAAAGAGAGACACATTACTGTACTTTAAAGAAGTTGGGTTTTCTGAATGTCATGTGGCCAGTGCCTTTGTAAGAAGTGTGAACATTTGTCAAATCCAAAGCCAAACATCAACTGAAAATCAAGTAAACTAAGCGCAGATATCTTATTTAGTTCTATATCAATACATATAACTTTTGATGTTTTCCCTCAGGAACAAGTCCCGGAACAACACCTGGAACCACACAAGCTACAACACCTGCAACAACCCCAGGAACGACAGCCGGAACAACACCTGGAACAACGCCTGGAACAACACCAGGCACAACACCAGGTACTACACCAGGCACCACACCAGGTAAGGTCAATTTTTTTTTGGTTTTAAAGACAGACATATTACTGTACTTTAAAGGAGTTGGGTTTTCTGAATGTCATGTGGCCAGTGCCTTTGTAAGAAGTATGAACATTTGTCATTTCCAAAGCCAAACAGCAACTGATAATCAAGTAAACACGGCGCAGATATCTTTAATATAGGTATTTAGTTCAATATCAATACATATAACTTTTGATGTTTTCCCTCAGGAACAACTCCCGGAATAACACCTAGAACCACTCCAGCTACAACACCTGCAACAACCCCAGGAACGACAGCCGGAACAACCCCTGGAACAACGCCTGTGACAAAGCAAGCTACAACACCTGGAACAACACCTGGAACAACACCAGGCACAACACCAGGTACTACACCAGGCACCACACCGGGTAAGGTCAAATTTTTTTTGGTTTTAAAGAGAGACACATTACTGTACTTTAAAGAAGTTGGGTTTTCTGAATGTCATATGGCCAGTGCCTTTGTAACAAGTGTGAACATTTGTCATTTCCAAAGCCAAACAGCAACTGATAATCAAGTAAACACAGCGCAGATATCTTGAATATAGGTATTTAGTTCTATATCAATACATATAACTTTTGATGTTTTCCCTCAGGAACAACTCCCGGAACAACACCTGGAACCACTCCAGCTACAACACCTGCAACAACCCCAGGAACGACAGCCGGAACAACACCTGGAACAACACCTGGAACAACACCTAGAACAACACCAGGCACAACACAAGGTACTACACCAGGCACCACACCAGGTAAGGTCAAATTTTTTTTGGTTTTAAAGACAGACACATTACTGTACTTTAAAGAAGTTGGGTTTTCTGAATGTCATGTGGCCAGTGCCTTTGTAAGAAGTGTGAACATTTGTCATTTCCAAAGCCAAACAGCAACTGATAATCAAGTAAACACAGCACAGATATCTTGAATATAGGTATTTAGTTCTATATCAATACATATAACTTTTGATGTTTTCCCTCAGGAACAACTCCCGGAACAACACCTGGAACCACTCCAGCTACAACACCTGCAACAACCCCAGGAACGACAGCCGGAACAACCCCTGGAACAACGCCTGTGACAACGCCAGCTACAACACCTGGAACAACGCCTGGAACAACACCAGGCACAACACCAGGTACTACACAAGGCACCACACCAGGTAAGGTCAAATTTTTTTTTGGTTTTAAAGAGAGACACATTACTGTATTTTAAAGGAGTTGGGTTTTCTGAATGTCATGTGGCCAGTGCCTTTGTAAGAAGTGTTAACATTTGTCATATCCAAAGCCAAACAGCAACTGAAAATCAAGTAAACTAAGCGCAGATATCTTATTTAGTTTTATTTCAATACATATAACTTTTGATGTTTTCCCTCAGGAACAACTCCCGGAACAACACCTGGAACCACTCCAGCTACAACACCTGCAACAACCCCAGGAACGACAGCCGGAACAACCCCTGGAACAACGCCTGTGACAACGCCAGCTACAACACCTGGAACAACACCTGGAACAACACCAGGCACCACACCAGGTAAGGTAAAAAAAAAAATTTGGTTTTAAAGAGAGACACATTACTGTACTTTAAAGAAGTTGGGTTTTCTGAATGTCATGTGGCCAGTGCCTTTGTAAGAAGTGTGAACATTTGTCATTTCCAAAGCCAAACAGCAACTGATAATCAAGTAAACACAGCACAGATATCTTGAATATAGGTATTTAGTTCTATATCAATACATATAACTTTTGATGTTTTCCCTCAGGAACAACTCCCGGAACAACACCTGGAACCACTCCAGCTACAACACCTGCAACAACCCCAGGAACGACAGCCGGAACAACACCTGCAAAAACGTCTGCAACAACACCAGGCACAACACCAGGTACTACACCAGGCACCACACCAGGTAAGGTCAAATTTGTTTTGGTTTTAAAGAGAGACACATTACTGTACTTTAAAGGAGTTGGGTTTTCTGAATGTCATGTGGCCAGTGCCTTTGTAAGAAGTGTGAACATTTGTCATTTCCAAAGCCAAACAGCAACTGATAATTAAGTAAACACAGCGCATATATCTTGAATATAGGTATTTAGTTCTATATCAATACATATAACTTTTGATGTTTTCCCTCAGGAACAACTCCTGGAACAACACCTGGAACCACTCCAGCTACAACACCTGCAACAACCCCAGGAACGACAGCCGGAACAACCCCTGGAACAACGCCTGTGACAACGCAAGCTACAACACCTGCAACAACACCTGGAACAACACCAGGCACAACACCAGGTACTACACCAGGCACCACACCAGGTAAGGTCAAATTTTTTTTTGGTTTTAAAGAGAGACACATTACTGTACTTTAAAGAAGTTGGGTTTTCTGAATGTCATGTGGCCAGTGCCTTTGTAAGAAGTGTGAACATTTGTCATATCCAAAGCCAAACAGCAACTGAAAATCAAGTAAACTAAGCGCAGATATCTTATTTAGTTCTATATCAATACATATAACTTTTGATGTTTTCCCTCAGGAACAACTCCCAGAACATCACTTGGAACCACACCAGCTACAACACCTGCAACAACCCGAGGAACGACAGCCGGAACATCACCTGGAACAACACCAGGCACAACACCAGGTACTACACCAGGCACCACACCAGGTAAGGTCAAATTTTTTTTGGTTTTAAAGACAGACACATTACTGTACTTTAAAGAAGTTGGGTTTTCTGAATGTCATGTGGCCAGTACCTTTGTAAGAAGTATGAACATTTGTCATTTCCAAAGCCAAACAGCGACTGATAATCAAGTAAACACAGCGCAGATATCTTGAATATAGGTATTTAGTTCAATATCAATACATATAACTTTTGATGTTTTCCCTCAGGAACAACTCCCGGAACATCACCTGGAACCACTCCAGCTACAACACCTGCAACAACCCCAGGAACGACAGCCGGAACAACCCCTGGAACAACGCCTGTGACAACGCCAGCTACAACAACTGGAACAACACCTGGAACAACACCAGGCACAACACCAGGTACTACACCAGGCACCACACCAGGTAAGGTCAAATTTTTTTTGGTTTTAAAGAGAGACACATTACTGTACTTTAATTAAATTGGGTTTTCTGAATGTCATGTGGCCAGTGCCTTTGTAAGAAGTGTGAACATTTGTCATATCCAAAGCCAAACAGCAACTGAAAATCAAGTAAACTAAGCGCAGATATCTTATTTAGTTCTATATCAATAGATATAACTTTTGATGTTTTCCCTCAGGAACAACTCCCAGAACATCACCTGGAACCACACCAGCCACAACACCTGCAACAACCCGAGGAACGACAGCCGGAACATCACCTGGAACAACACCAGGCACAACACCAGGTACTACACCAGGCACCACACCAGGTAAGGTCAAATTTTTTTTGGTTTTAAAGACAGACACATTACTGTACTTTAAAGAAGTTGGGTTTTCTGAATGTCATGTGGCCAGTACCTTTGTAAGAAGTATGAACATTTGTCATTTCCAAAGCCAAACTGCAACTGATAATCAAGTAAACACGGCGCAGATATCTTTAATATAGGTATTTAGTTCAATATCAATACATATAACTTTTGATGTTTTCCCTCAGGAACAACTCCCGGAATAACACCTAGAACCACTCCAGCTACAACACCTGCAACAACCCCAGGAACGACAGCCGGAACAACCCCTGGAACAACGCCTGTGACAAAGCAAGCTACAACACCTGGAACAACACCTGGAACAACACCAGGCACAACACAAGGTACTACACCAGGCACCACACCAGGTAAGGTCAAATTTTTTTTTGGTTTTAAAGAGAGACACAATACTGTACTTTAAAGAAGTTGGGTTTTCTGAATGTCATATGGCCAGTGCCTTTGTAACAAGTGTGAACATTTGTCATTTCCAAAGCCTAACAGCAACTGATAATCAAGTAAACACAGCGCAGATATCTTGAATATAGGTATTTAGTTCTATATCAATACATATAACTTTTGATGTTTTCCCTCAGGAACAACTCCCGGAACAACACCTGGAACCACTCCAGCTACAACACCTGCAACATCCCCAGGAACGACAGCCGGAACAACACCTGGAACAACACCTGGAACAACACCTAGAACAACACCAGGCACAACACCAGGTACTACACCAGGCACCACACCAGGTAAGGTAAAAAAAATTTTGGTTTTAAAGAGAGACACATTACTGTACTTTAAAGAAGTTGGGTTTTCTGAATGTCATGTGGCCAGTGCCTTTGTAAGAAGTGTGAACATTTGTCATTTCCAAAGCCAAACAGCAACTGATAATCAAGTAAACACAGCACAGATATCTTGAATATAGGTATTTAGTTCTATATCAATACATATAACTTTTGATGTTTTCCCTCAGGAACAACTCCCGGAACAACACCTGGAACCACTCCAGCTACAACACCTGCAACAACCCCAGGAACGACAGCCGGAACAACCCTGGAACAACGCCTGTGACAACGCCAGCTACAACACCTGGAACAACGCCTGGAACAACACCAGGCACAACACCAGGTACTACACCAGGCACCACACCAGGTAAGGTCAAATTTTTTTTTGGTTTTAAAGAGAGACACATTACTGTATTTTAAAGGAGTTGGGTTTTCTGAATGTCATGTGGCCAGTGCCTTTGTAAGAAGTGTTAACATTTGTCATATCCAAAGCCAAACAGCAACTGAAAATCAAGTAAACTAAGCGCAGATATCTTATTTAGTTTTATTTCAATACATATAACTTTTGATGTTTTCCCTCAGGAACAACTCCCGGAACAACACCTGGAACCACTCCAGCTACAACACCTGCAACAACCCCAGGAACGACAGCCGGAACAACCCCTGGAACAACGCCTGTGACAACGCCAGCTACAACACCTGGAACAACACCTGGAACAACACCAGGCACAACACCAGGTAAGGTCAAATTTTTTTTGGGTTTTAAAGAGAGACACTTTACTGTATTTTAAAGGAGTTGGGTTTTCTGAATGTCATGTGGCCAGTGCCTTTGTAAGAAGTGTGAACATTTGTCATATCCATAGCCAAACAGCAACTGAAAATCAAGTAAACTAAGCGCAGATATCTTATTTAGTTCTATATCAATACATATAACTTTTGATGTTTTCCCTCAGGAACAACTCCCGGAACAACACCTGGAACCACTCCAGCTACAACACCTGCAACAACCCCAGGAACGACAGCCGGAACAACACCTGGAACAACACGTGGAACAACACCTAGAACAACACCAGGCACAACACCAGGTACTACACCAGGCACCACACCAGGTAAGGTCAAAAAAAAATTTGGTTTTAAAGAGAGACACATTACTGTACTTTAAAGAAGTTGGGTTTTCTGAATGTCATGTGGCCAGTGCCTTTGTAAGAAGTGTGAACATTTGTCATTTCCAAAGCCAAACAGCAACTGATAATCAAATAAACACAGCACAGATATCTTGAATATAGGTATTTAGTTCTATATCAATACATATAACTTTTGATGTTTTCCCTCAGGAACAACTCCCGGAACAACACCTGGAACCACTCCAGCTACAACACCTGCAACAACCCCAGAAACGACAGCCGGAACAACACCTGCAAAAACGTCTGCAACAACACCAGGCACAACACCAGGTACTACACCAGGCACCACACCAGGTAAGGTAAAATTTGTTTTGGTTTTAAAGAGAGACACATTACTGTACTTTAAAGAAGTTGGGTTTTCTGAATGTCATGTGGCCAGTGCCTTTGTAAGAAGTGTGAACATTTGTCATATCCAAAGCCAAACAGCAACTGAAAATCAAGTAAACTAAGCGCAGATATCTTATTTAGTTCTATATCAATACATATAACTTTTGATGTTTTCCCTCAGGAACAACTCCCAGAACATCACCTGGAACCACACCAGCTACAACACCTGCAACAACCCGAGGAACGACAGCCGGAACATCACCTGGAACAACACCAGGCACAACACCAGGTACTACACCAGGCACCACACCAGGTAAGGTCAAATTTTTTTTGGTTTTAAAGACAGACACATTACTGTACTTTAAAGAAGTTGGGTTTTCTGAATGTCATGTGGCCAGTACCTTTGTAAAGAGTATGAACATTTGTCATTTCCAAAGCCAAACAGCAACTGATAATCAAGTAAACACGGCGCAGATATCTTTAATATAGGTATTTAGTTCAATATCAATACATATAACTTTTGATGTTTTCCCTCAGGAACAACTCCCGGAATAACACCTAGAACCACTCCAGCTACAACACCTGCAACAACCCCAGGAACGACAGCCGGAACAACCCCTGGAACAACGCCTGTGACAACGCCAGCTACAACACCTGGAACAACGCCTGGAACAACACCAGGCACAACACCAGGTACTACACCAGGCACCACACCAGGTAAGGTCAAATTTTTTTTTGGTTTTTAAGAGAGACACATTACTGTATTTTAAAGGATTTGGGTTTTCTGAATGTCATGTGGCCAGTGCCTTTGTAAGAAGTGTTAACATTTGTCATATCCAAAGCCAAACAGCAACTGAAAATCAAGTAAACTAAGCGCAGATATCTTATTTAGTTTTATTTCAATACATATAACTTTTGATGTGTTCCCTCAGGAACAACTCCCGGAACAACACCTGGAACCACTCCAGCTACAACACCTGCAACAACCCCAGGAACGACAGCCGGAACAACCCCTGGAACAACGCCTGTGACAACGCCAGCTACAACACCTGGAACAACACCTGGAACAACACCAGGCACAACACCAGGTAAGGTCAAATTTTTTTTTGGTTTTAAAGAGAGACACTTTACTGTATTTTAAAGGAGTTGGGTTTTCTGAATGTCATGTGGCCAGTGCCTTTGTAAGAAGTGTGAACATTTGTCATATCCATAGCCAAACAGCACCTGAAAATCAAGTAAACTAAGCGCAGATATCTTATTTAGTTCTATATCAATACATATAACTTTTGATGTTTTCCCTCAGGAACAACTCCCGGAACAACACCTGGAACCACTCCAGCTACAACACCTGCAACAACCCCAGGAACGACAGCCGGAACAACACCTGGAACAACACCTGGAACAACACCTAGAACAACACCAGGCACAACACCAGGTACTACACCAGGCACCACACCAGGTAAGGTCAAAAAAAAAATTGGTTTTAAAGAGAGACACATTACTGTACTTTAAAGAAGTTGGGTTTTCTGAATGTCATGTGGCCAGTGCCTTTGTAAGAAGTGTGAACATTTGTCATTTCCAAAGCCAAACAGCAACTGATAATCAAGTAAACACAGCACAGATATCTTGAATATAGGTATTTAGTTCTATAACAATACATATAACTTTTTATGTTTTCCCTCAGGAACAACTCCCGGAACAACACCTGGAACCACTCCAGCTACAACACCTGCAACAACCCCAGGAACGACAGCCGGAACAACCCCTGGAACAACGCCTGTGACAACGCCAGCTACAACACCTGGAACAACACCTGGAACAACACCAGGCACAACACCAGGTAAGGTCAATTTTTTTTTGGTTTTAAAGAGAGACACATTACTGTATTTTAAAGGAGTTGGGTTTTCTGAATGCCATGTGGCCAGTGCCTTTGTAAGAAGTGTGAACATTTGTCATTTCCAAAGCCAAACAGCAACTGAAAATCAAGTAAACTAAGCGCAGATATCTTATTTAGTTCTATATCAATACATATAACTTTTGATGTTTTCCCTCAGGAACAACTCCCGGAACAACACCTGGAACCACTCCAGCTACAACACCTGCAACAACCCCAGGAACGACAGCCGGAACAACCCCTGGAACAACGCCTGTTACAATGCAAGCTACAACACCTGGAACAACACCTGGAACCACTCCAGCTACAACACCTGCAACAACCCCAGGAATGACAGCCGGAACAACACCTGGAACAACGCCTGGAACAACACCAGGTACTACACCAGGCACCACACCAGGTAAGGTCAATTTTTGTGTTGTTTTTAAAGAGAGACACATTACTGTACTTTAAAGAAGTTGGGTTTTCTGAATGTCATGTGGCCAGTGCCTTTGTAAGAAGTGTGAACATTTGTCATATCCAAAGCCAAACAGCAACTGAAAATCAAGTAAACTAAGCGCAGATATCTTATTTAGTTCTATTTCAATACATATAACTTTTGATGTTTTCCCTCAGGAACAACTCCCGGAACAACACCTGGAACCACTCCAGCTACAACACCTGCAACAACCCCAGGAACGACAGCCGGAACAACCCCTGGAACAACGCCTGTGACAACGCCAGCTACAACACCTGGAACAACGCCTGGAACAACACCAGGCACAACACCAGGTACTACACCAGGCACCACACCAGGTAAGGTCAAATTTTTTTTTGGTTTTAAAGAGAGACACATTACTGTATTTTAAAGGAGTTGGGTTTTCTGAATGTCATGTGGCCAGTGCCTTTGTAAGAAGTGTTAACATTTGTCATATCCAAAGCCAAACAGCAACTGAAAATCAAGTAAACTAAGCGCAGATATCTTATTTAGTTTTATTTCAATACATATAACTTTTGATGTTTTCCCTCAGGAACAACTCCCGGAACAACACCTGGAACCACTCCAGCTACAACACCTGCAACAACCCCAGGAACGACAGCCGGAACAACCCCTGGAACAACGCCTGTGACAACGCCAGCTACAACACCTGGAACAACACCTGGAACAACACCAGGCACAACACCAGGTAAGGTCAAATTTTTTTTGGGTTTTAAAGAGAGACACTTTACTGTATTTTAAAGGAGTTGGGTTTTCTGAATGTCATGTGGCCAGTGCCTTTGTAAGAAGTGTGAACATTTGTCATATCCATAGCCAAACAGCAACTGAAAATCAAGTAAACTAAGCGCAGATATCTTATTTAGTTCTATATCAATACATATAACTTTTGATGTTTTCCCTCAGGAACAACTCCCGGAACAACACCTGGAACCACTCCAGCTACAACACCTGCAACAACCCCAGGAACGACAGCCGGAACAACACCTGGAACAACACGTGGAACAACACCTAGAACAACACCAGGCACAACACCAGGTACTACACCAGGCACCACACCAGGTAAGGTCAAAAAAAAATTTGGTTTTAAAGAGAGACACATTACTGTACTTTAAAGAAGTTGGGTTTTCTGAATGTCATGTGGCCAGTGCCTTTGTAAGAAGTGTGAACATTTGTCATTTCCAAAGCCAAACAGCAACTGATAATCAAATAAACACAGCACAGATATCTTGAATATAGGTATTTAGTTCTATATCAATACATATAACTTTTGATGTTTTCCCTCAGGAACAACTCCCGGAACAACACCTGGAACCACTCCAGCTACAACACCTGCAACAACCCCAGAAACGACAGCCGGAACAACACCTGCAAAAACGTCTGCAACAACACCAGGCACAACACCAGGTACTACACCAGGCACCACACCAGGTAAGGTAAAATTTGTTTTGGTTTTAAAGAGAGACACATTACTGTACTTTAAAGAAGTTGGGTTTTCTGAATGTCATGTGGCCAGTGCCTTTGTAAGAAGTGTGAACATTTGTCATATCCAAAGCCAAACAGCAACTGAAAATCAAGTAAACTAAGCGCAGATATCTTATTTAGTTCTATATCAATACATATAACTTTTGATGTTTTCCCTCAGGAACAACTCCCAGAACATCACCTGGAACCACACCAGCTACAACACCTGCAACAACCCGAGGAACGACAGCCGGAACATCACCTGGAACAACACCAGGCACAACACCAGGTACTACACCAGGCACCACACCAGGTAAGGTCAAATTTTTTTTGGTTTTAAAGACAGACACATTACTGTACTTTAAAGAAGTTGGGTTTTCTGAATGTCATGTGGCCAGTACCTTTGTAAAGAGTATGAACATTTGTCATTTCCAAAGCCAAACAGCAACTGATAATCAAGTAAACACGGCGCAGATATCTTTAATATAGGTATTTAGTTCAATATCAATACATATAACTTTTGATGTTTTCCCTCAGGAACAACTCCCGGAATAACACCTAGAACCACTCCAGCTACAACACCTGCAACAACCCCAGGAACGACAGCCGGAACAACCCCTGGAACAACGCCTGTGACAACGCCAGCTACAACACCTGGAACAACGCCTGGAACAACACCAGGCACAACACCAGGTACTACACCAGGCACCACACCAGGTAAGGTCAAATTTTTTTTTGGTTTTTAAGAGAGACACATTACTGTATTTTAAAGGATTTGGGTTTTCTGAATGTCATGTGGCCAGTGCCTTTGTAAGAAGTGTTAACATTTGTCATATCCAAAGCCAAACAGCAACTGAAAATCAAGTAAACTAAGCGCAGATATCTTATTTAGTTTTATTTCAATACATATAACTTTTGATGTGTTCCCTCAGGAACAACTCCCGGAACAACACCTGGAACCACTCCAGCTACAACACCTGCAACAACCCCAGGAACGACAGCCGGAACAACCCCTGGAACAACGCCTGTGACAACGCCAGCTACAACACCTGGAACAACACCTGGAACAACACCAGGCACAACACCAGGTAAGGTCAAATTTTTTTTTGGTTTTAAAGAGAGACACTTTACTGTATTTTAAAGGAGTTGGGTTTTCTGAATGTCATGTGGCCAGTGCCTTTGTAAGAAGTGTGAACATTTGTCATATCCATAGCCAAACAGCACCTGAAAATCAAGTAAACTAAGCGCAGATATCTTATTTAGTTCTATATCAATACATATAACTTTTGATGTTTTCCCTCAGGAACAACTCCCGGAACAACACCTGGAACCACTCCAGCTACAACACCTGCAACAACCCCAGGAACGACAGCCGGAACAACACCTGGAACAACACCTGGAACAACACCTAGAACAACACCAGGCACAACACCAGGTACTACACCAGGCACCACACCAGGTAAGGTCAAAAAAAAAATTGGTTTTAAAGAGAGACACATTACTGTACTTTAAAGAAGTTGGGTTTTCTGAATGTCATGTGGCCAGTGCCTTTGTAAGAAGTGTGAACATTTGTCATTTCCAAAGCCAAACAGCAACTGATAATCAAGTAAACACAGCACAGATATCTTGAATATAGGTATTTAGTTCTATAACAATACATATAACTTTTTATGTTTTCCCTCAGGAACAACTCCCGGAACAACACCTGGAACCACTCCAGCTACAACACCTGCAACAACCCCAGGAACGACAGCCGGAACAACCCCTGGAACAACGCCTGTGACAACGCCAGCTACAACACCTGGAACAACACCTGGAACAACACCAGGCACAACACCAGGTAAGGTCAATTTTTTTTTGGTTTTAAAGAGAGACACATTACTGTATTTTAAAGGAGTTGGGTTTTCTGAATGCCATGTGGCCAGTGCCTTTGTAAGAAGTGTGAACATTTGTCATTTCCAAAGCCAAACAGCAACTGAAAATCAAGTAAACTAAGCGCAGATATCTTATTTAGTTCTATATCAATACATATAACTTTTGATGTTTTCCCTCAGGAACAACTCCCGGAACAACACCTGGAACCACTCCAGCTACAACACCTGCAACAACCCCAGGAACGACAGCCGGAACAACCCCTGGAACAACGCCTGTTACAATGCAAGCTACAACACCTGGAACAACACCTGGAACCACTCCAGCTACAACACCTGCAACAACCCCAGGAATGACAGCCGGAACAACACCTGGAACAACGCCTGGAACAACACCAGGTACTACACCAGGCACCACACCAGGTAAGGTCAATTTTTGTGTTGTTTTTAAAGAGAGACACATTACTGTACTTTAAAGAAGTTGGGTTTTCTGAATGTCATGTGGCCAGTGCCTTTGTAAGAAGTGTGAACATTTGTCATATCCAAAGCCAAACAGCAACTGAAAATCAAGTAAACTAAGCGCAGATATCTTATTTAGTTCTATTTCAATACATATAACTTTTGATGTTTTCCCTCAGGAACAACTCCCGGAACAACACCTGGAACCACTCCAGCTATAACACCTGCAACAACCCCAGGAACGACAGCCGGAACAACACCTGGAACAACTGGTCTGACTACCGAGGAGGAGACAACTGAATCAGGAACAACAGAAGGATTCACTTCAGACATTACTTCAACTGCTCCCTTAACAACATATATCACCACCATTGGTATGTCTACCGAGGAGGAGACAACTGAATCAAGAACTACTGAGGGATTCACTTCAGACATTACTTCAACTGGGCCTTCAACATCAGATATCACTACCAATGGTATGACTACAGAGGAGGAGACAACTGAATCGGCAACAACTGAAGAATTCACCTCAGATGTTACATCAACTCAGCCGTCAAGATCAGATATCACTACTAACGGTCCGACTACCGAGGAGGAGACAACTGAATTAGATACAACTGATGGATTCACCTCAGATGTTACATCAACTCTGCCGTCAAGATCAGATATCACTACTAATGGTCCGACTACCGAGGAGGAGACAACTGAATTGGGAACAACAGAAGAATTCACCTCAGATGTTACATCAACTCTGCCGTCAACTTCAGATATCATTACTAATAGTCTAACTACCGAGGAGGAGACAACTGAGGGATTAACCTCAGATATGACATCTACCGCTCTACCAACATCAGATATCACAACCAATGGTATGACTACAGAGGAGGAGACAACTGAATTAGCAAAAACTGAGGGATTAACTTTAGATGTGACATCAACTGCTCCCTTAACAACAGATATCACCACCAATGATATGACTACCGAAGAGGAGACAACTGAATCAGGAACAACTGCAGAATTCACCTCAGATGTTACATCAACTCTGTCGTCAACATCAGATATCACTACTAATGGTCCGACTACCGAGGAGGAGACAACTGAATCGGGAACAACAGAAGAATTCACCTCAGATGTTACATCAACTCTGCCGTCAACTTCAGATATCATTACTAATAGTCTAACTACCGAGGAGGAGACAACTGAGGGATTAACCTTAGATATGACATCTACCGCTCTACCAACATCAGATATCACAACCAATGGTATGACTACAGAGGAGGAGACAACTGAATTAGCAACAACTGAGGGATTAACTTTAGATGTGACATCAACTGCTCCCTTAACAACAGATATCACCACCAATGATATGACTACCGAAGAGGAGACAACTGAATCAGGAACAACTGAAGAATTCACCTCAGATGTTACATCAACTCTGTCGTCAACATCAGATATCACTACTAATGGTCTGACTACCGAGGAGGAGACGACTGAGGGATTAAACTCAGATATGACATCTACCACTCTACCAACATCAGATATCACAACCAATGGTATGACTACAGAGGAGGAGACAACTGAATTAGCAACAACTGAGGGATTAACTTTAGATGTGACATCAACTGCTCCCTTAACAACAGATATCACCACCAATGATATGACTACCGAGGAGGAGACAACTGAATTAGATACAACTGATGGATTCACCTCAGATGTTACATCAACTCTGCCGTCAAGATCAGATATCACTACTAATGGTCCGACTACCGAGGAGGAGACAACTGAATCGGGAACAACAGAAGAATTCACGTCAGATGTTACATCAACTCTGCCGTCAACTTCAGATATCATTACTAATAGTCTAACTACCGAGGAGGAGACAACTGAGGGATTAACCTCAGATATGACATCTACCGCTCTACCAACATCAGATATCACAACCAATGGTATGACTACAGAGGAGGAGACAACTGAATTAGCAACAAATGAGGGATTAACTTTAGATGTGACATCAACTGCTCCCTTAACAACAGATATCACCACCAATGATATGACTACCGAGGAGGAGACAACTGAATTAGATACAACTGATGGATTCACCTCAGATGTTACATCAACTCTGCCGTCAAGATCAGATATCACTACTAATGGTCCGACTACCGAGGAGGAGACAACTGAATCGGGAACAACAGAAGAATTCACGTCAGATGTTACATCAACTCTGCCGTCAACTTCAGATATCATTACTAATAGTCTAACTACCGAGGAGGAGACAACTGAGGGATTAACCTCAGATATGACATCTACCGCTCTACCAACATCAGATATCACAACCAATGGTATGACTACAGAGGAGGAGACAACTGAATTAGCAACAACTGAGGGATTAACTTTAGATGTGACATCAACTGCTCCCTTAACAACAGATATCACAACCAATGGTATGACTACCGAGGAGGAGACAACTGAATCAGGAACAACTGAAGAATTCACCTCAGATGTTACATCAACTCTGTCGTCAACATCAGATATCACTACTAATGGTCTGACTACCGAGGAGGAGACGACTGAGGGATTAACCTCAGATATGACATCTACCACTCTACCAACATCAGATATCACAACCAATGGTATGACTACAGAGGAGGAGACAACTGAATTAGCAACAACTGAGGGATTAACTTTAGATGTGACATCAACTGCTCCCTTAACAACAGATATCACCACCAATGATATGACTACCGAGGAGGAGACAACTGAATTAGATACAACTGATGGATTCACCTCAGATGTTACATCAACTCTGCCGTCAAGATCAGATATCACTACTAATGGTCCGACTACCGAGGAGGAGACAACTGAATCGGGAACAACAGAAGAATTCACCTCAGATGTTACATCAACTCTGCCGTCAACTTCAGATATCATTACTAATAGTCTAACTACCGAGGAGGAGACAACTGAGGGATTAACCTCAGATATGACATCTACCGCTCTACCAACATCAGATATCACAACCAATGGTATGACTACAGAGGAGGAGACAACTGAATTAGCAACAACTGAGGGATTAACTTTAGATGTGACATCAACTGCTCCCTTAACAACAGATATCACCACCAATGATATGACTACCGAAGAGGAGACAACTGAATCAGGAACAACTGAAGAATTCACCTCAGATGTTACATCAACTCTGTCGTCAACATCAGATATCACTACTAATGGTCTGACTACCGAGGAGGAGACGACTGAGGGATTAACCTCAGATATGACATCTACCGCTCTACCAACATCAGATATCACAACCAATGGTATGACTACAGAGGAGGAGACAACTGAATTAGCAACAACTGAGGGATTAACTTTAGATGTGACATCAACTGCTCCCTTCACAACAGATATCACCACCAATGATATGACTACCGAAGAGGAGACAACTGAATCAGGAACAACTGAAGAATTCACTTCAGACATTACTTCAACTGGGCCTTCAACATCAGATATCACTACCAATGGTATGGCTACAGAGGAGGAGACAACTGAATCGGCAACAACTGAAGAATTCACCTCAGATGTTACATCAACTCTGCCGTCAAGATCAGATATCACTACTAATGGTCCGACTACCGAGGAGGAGACAACTGAATTAGATACAACTGATAGATTCACCTCAGATGTTACATCAACTCTGCCGTCAAGATCAGATATCACTACTAATGGTCCGACTACCGAGGAGGAGACAACTGAATCGGGAACAACAGAAGAATTCACCTCAGATGTTACATCAACTCTGCCGTCAACTTCAGATATCACTACTAATAGTCTAACTACCGAGGAGGAGACAACTGAGGGATTAACCTCAGATATGACATCTACCGCTCTACCAACATCAGATATCACAACCAATGGTATGACTACAGAGGAGGAGACAACTGAATTAGCAACAACTGAGGGATTAACTTTAGATGTGACATCAACTGCTCCCTTAACAACAGATATCACCACCAATGATATGACTACCGAAGAGGAGACAACTGAATCAGGAACAACTGAAGAATTCACCTCAGATGTTACATCAACTCTGTCGTCAACATCAGATATCACTACTAATGGTCTGACTACCGAGGAGGAGACGACTGAGGGATTAACCTCAGATATGACATCTACCACTCTACCAACATCAGATATCACAACCAATGGTATGACTACAGAGGAGGAGACAACTGAATTAGCAACAACTGAGGGATTAACTTTAGATGTGACATCAACTGCTCCCTTAACAACAGATATCACCACCAATGATATGACTACCGAGGAGGAGACAACTGAATTAGATACAACTGATGGATTCACCTCAGATGTTACATCAACTCTGCCGTCAAGATCAGATATCACTACTAATGGTCCGACTACCGAGGAGGAGACAACTGAATCGGGAACAACAGAAGAATTCACCTCAGATGTTACATCAACTCTGCCGTCAACTTCAGATATCATTACTAATAGTCTAACTACCGAGGAGGAGACAACTGAGGGATTAACCTCAGATATGACATCTACCGCTCTACCAACATCAGATATCACAACCAATGGTATGACTACAGAGGAGGAGACAACTGAATTAGCAACAACTGAGGGATTAACTTTAGATGTGACATCAACTGCTCCCTTCACAACAGATATCACCACCAATGATATGACTACCGAAGAGGAGACAACTGAATCAGGAACAACTGAAGAATTCACTTCAGACATTACTTCAACTGGGCCTTCAACATCAGATATCACTACCAATGGTATGGCTACAGAGGAGGAGACAACTGAATCGGCAACAACTGAAGAATTCACCTCAGATGTTACATCAACTCTGCCGTCAAGATCAGATATCACTACTAATGGTCCGACTACCGAGGAGGAGACAACTGAATTAGATACAACTGATAGATTCACCTCAGATGTTACATCAACTCTGCCGTCAAGATCAGATATCACTACTAATGGTCCGACTACCGAGGAGGAGACAACTGAATCGGGAACAACAGAAGAATTCACCTCAGATGTTACATCAACTCTGCCGTCAACTTCAGATATCACTACTAATAGTCTAACTACCGAGGAGGAGACAACTGAGGGATTAACCTCAGATATGACATCTACCGCTCTACCAACATCAGATATCACAACCAATGGTATGACTACAGAGGAGGAGACAACTGAATTAGCAACAACTGAGGGATTAACTTTAGATGTGACATCAACTGCTCCCTTAACAACAGATATCACCACCAATTATATGACTACCGAAGAGGAGACAACTGAATCAGGAACAACTGAAGAATTCACCTCAGATGTTACATCAACTCTGTCGTCAACATCAGATATCACTACTAATGGTCTGACTACCGAGGAGGAGACGACTGAGGGATTAACCTCAGATATGACATCTACCACTCTACCAACATCAGATATCACAACCAATGGTATGACTACAGAGGAGGAGACAACTGAATTAGCAACAACTGAGGGATTAACTTTAGATGTGACATCAACTGCTCCCTTAACAACAGATATCACCACCAATGATATGACTACCGAGGAGGAGACAACTGAATTAGATACAACTGATGGATTCACCTCAGATGTTACATCAACTCTGCCGTCAAGATCAGATATCACTACTAATGGTCCGACTACCGAGGAGGAGACAACTGAATCGGGAACAACAGAAGAATTCACCTCAGATGTTACATCAACTCTGCCGTCAACTTCAGATATCATTACTAATAGTCTAACTACCGAGGAGGAGACAACTGAGGGATTAACCTCAGATATGACATCTACCGCTCTACCAACATCAGATGTCACAACCAATGGTATGACTACAGAGGAGGAGACAACTGAATTAGCAACAACTGAGGGATTAACTTTAGATGTGACATCAACTGCTCCCTTAACAACAGATATCACCACCAATGATATGACTACCGAAGAGGAGACAACTGAATCAGGAACAACTGAAGAATTCACCTCAGATGTTACATCAACTCTGTCGTCAACATCAGATATCACTACTAATGGTCTGACTACCGAGGAGGAGACGACTGAGGGATTAACCTCAGATATGACATCTACCTCTCTACCAACATCAGATATCACAACCAATGGTATGACTACAGAGGAGGAGACAACTGAATTAGCAACAACTGAGGGATTAACTTTAGATGTGACATCAACTGCTCCCTTCACAACAGATATCACCACCAATGATATGACTACCGAAGAGGAGACAACTGAATCAGGAACAACTGAAGAATTCACTTCAGACATTACTTCAACTGGGCCTTCAACATCAGATATCACTACCAATTGTATGGCTACAGAGGAGGAGACAACTGAATCGGCAACAACTGAAGAATTCACCTCAGATGTTACATCAACTCTGCCGTCAAGATCAGATATCACTACTAATGGTCCGACTACCGAGGAGGAGACAACTGAATTAGATACAACTGATAGATTCACCTCAGATGTTACATCAACTCTGCCGTCAAGATCAGATATCACTACTAATGGTCCGACTACCGAGGAGGAGACAACTGAATCGGGAACAACAGAAGAATTCACCTCAGATGTTACATCAACTCTGCCGTCAACTTCAGATATCACTACTAATAGTCTAACTACCGAGGAGGAGACAACTGAGGGATTAACCTCAGATATGACATCTACCGCTCTACCAACATCAGATATCACAACCAATGGTATGACTACAGAGGAGGAGACAACTGAATTAGCAACAACTGAGGGATTAACTTTAGATGTGACATCAACTGCTCCCTTAACAACAGATATCACCACCTATGATATGACTACCGAAGAGGAGACAACTGAATCAGGAACAACTGAAGAATTCACCTCAGATGATACATCAACTCTGTCGTCAACATCAGATATCACTTCTAATGGTCTGACTACCGAGGAGGAGACGACTGAGGGATTAACCTCAGATATGACATCTACCGCTCTACCAACATCAGATATCATAACCAATGGTATGACTACGGGGGAGGAGACAACTGAATTAGAAACAACTGAGGATTTTACTTCAGATGTAACATCAACTGCTCCCTTAACAACAGATATCACCACTATTGGTATGTCTACCGAGGAGGAGACAACTGAATCAAGAACTACTGAGGGATTCACTTCAGACTTTACTTCAACTGGGCCTTCAACATCAGATATCACCACCGATGGTCTGACTACCGAGGAGGAGACAACTGAGGGATTAACCTCAGATATGACATCTACTGCTCTACCAACATCAGATATCACAACAAATGGTATGACTACGGAAGAGGAGACAACTGAATTAGGAACAACTGAGGAATATACTTCAGATGTTACATCAACTGCTTCCTTAACAACAGATATCACCACCAATGGTCTGACTACTGAGGAGGAGACAGCTGAATTAGGAACAACTGAGGGATTCACTTCAGACATTACTCCAACTGGGCCGTCAACATCAGATATCACTACCAAAGGTATGACTACAGAGGAGGAGACAACTGAATCGGCAACAACTGAAAAATTCACCTCAGATGTTACATCAACTCAGCCGTCAAGATCAGATATCACTACTAACGGTCCGACTACCGAGGAGGAGACAACTGAATTAGATACAACTGATGGATTCACCTCAGATGTTACATCAACTCTGCCGTCAAGATCAGATATCACTACTAATGGTCCGACTACCGAGGAGGAGACAACTGAATCGGGAACAACAGAAGAATTCACCTCAGATGTTACATCAACTCTGCCGTCAACTTCAGATATCATTACTAATAGTCTAACTACCGAGGAGGAGACAACTGAGGGATTAACCTCAGATATGACATCTACCGCTCTACCAACATCAGATATCACAACCAATGGTATGACTACAGAGGAGGAGACAACTGAATTAGCAACAACTGAGGGATTAACTTTAGATGTGACATCAACTGCTCCCTTAACAACAGATATCACCACCAATGATATGACTACCGAAGAGGAGACAACTGAATCAGGAACAACTGAAGAATTCACCTCAGATGTTACATCAACTCTGTCGTCAACATCAGATATCACTACTAATGGTCTGACTACCGAGGAGGAGACGACTGAGGGATTAACCTCATATATGACATCTACCGCTCTACCAACATCAGATATCACAACCAATGATATGACTACAGAGGAGGAGACAACTGAATTAGCAACAACTGAGGGATTAACTTTAGATGTGACATCAACTGCTCCCTTAACAACAGATATCACCACCAATGATATGACTACCGAAGAGGAGACAACTGAATCAGGAACAACTGAAGAATTCACTTCAGACATTACTTCAACTGGGCCTTCAACATCAGATATCACTACCAATGGTATGGCTACAGAGGAGGAGACAACTGAATCGGCAACAACTGAAGAATTCACCTCAGATGTTACATCAACTCTGCCGTTAAGATCAGATATCACTACTAATGGTCCGACTACCGAGGAGGAGACAATTGAATTAGATACAACTGATGGATTCACCTCAGATGTTACATCAACTCTGCCGTCAAGATCAGATATCACTACTAATGGTCCGACTACCGAGGAGGAGACAACTGAATCGGGAACAACAGAAGAATTCACCTCAGATGTTACATCAACTCTGCCGTCAACTTCAGATATCACTACTAATAGTCTAACTACCGAGGAGGAGACAACTGAGGGATTAACCTCAGATATGACATCTACCGCTCTACCAACATCAGATATCACAACCAATGGTATGACTACAGAGGAGGAGACAACTGAATTAGCAACAACTGAGGGATTAACTTTAGATGTTACATTAACTGCTACCTTAACAACAGATATCACCACCTATGATATGACTACCGAAGATGAGACAACTGAATCAGGAACAACTGAAGAATTCACCTCAGATGATACATCAACTCTGTCGTCAACATCAGATATCACTACTAATGGTCTGACTACCGAGGAGGAGACGACTGAGGGATTAACCTCAGATATGACATCTACCGCTCTACCAACATCAGATATCATAACCAATGGTATGACTACGGGGGAGGAGACAACTGAATTAGAAACAACTGAGGATTTTACTTCAGATGTAACATCAACTGCTCCCTTAACAACAGATATCACCACCATTGGTATGTCTACCGAGGAGGAGACAACTGAATCAAGAACTACTGAGGGATTCACTTCAGACTTTACTTCAACTGGGCCTTCAACATCAGATATCACCACCGATGGTCTGACTACCAAGGAGGAGACAACTGAGGGATTAACCTCAGATATGACATCTACTGCTCTACCAACATCAGATATCACAACAAATGGTATGACTACGGAAGAGGAGACAACTGAATTAGGAACAACTGAGGAATATACTTCAGATGTTACATCAACTGCTTCCTTAACAACAGATATCACCACCAATGGTCTGACTACTGAGGAGGAGACAACTGAATTAGGAACAACTGAGGGATTCACTTCAGACATTACTCCAACTGGGCCGTCAACATCAGATATCACTACCAAAGGTATGACTACAGAGGAGGAGACAACTGAATCGGGAACAACAGAAGAATTCACCTCAGATGTTACATCAACTCTGCCGTCAAATTCAGATATCACTACTAATGGTCCGACTACCGAGGAGGAGACAACTGAATCAGGAACAACAGAAGGATTCCCTTCAGACATTACTTCAACTGCTCCCTTAACAACAGATATCACCACCAATGGTCTGACTACTGAGGAGGAGACAGCTGAATTAGGAACAACTGAGGGATTCACTTCAGACATTACTCCAACTGGGCCGTCAACATCAGATATCACTACCAAAGGTATGACTACAGAGGAGGAGACAACTGAATCGGCAACAACTGAAAAATTCACCTCAGATGTTACATCAACTCAGCCGTCAAGATCAGATATCACTACTAACGGTCCGACTACCGAGGAGGAGACAACTGAATTAGATACAACTGATGGATTCACCTCAGATGTTACATCAACTCTGCCGTCAAGATCAGATATCACTACTAGTGGTCCGACTACCGAGGAGGAGACAACTGAATCGGGAACAACAGAAGAATTCACCTCAGATGTTACATCAACTCTGCCGTCAACTTCAGATATCATTACTAATAGTCTAACTACCGAGGAGGAGACAACTGAGGGATTAACCTCAGATATGACATCTACCGCTCTACCAACATCAGATATCACAACCAATGGTATGACTACAGAGGAGGAGACAACTGAATTAGCAACAACTGAGGGATTAACTTTAGATGTGACATCAACTGCTCCCTTAACAACAGATATCACCACCAATGATATGACTACCGAAGAGGAGACAACTGAATCAGGAACAACTGAAGAATTCACTTCAGACATTACTTCAACTGGGCATTCAACATCAGATATCACTACCAATGGTATGGCTACAGAGGAGGAGACAACTGAATCGGCAACAACTGAAGAATTCACCTCAGATGATACATCAACTCTGTCGTCAACATCAGATATCACTACTAATGGTCTGACTACCGAGGAGGAGACGACTGAGGGATTAACCTCAGATATGACATCTACCGCTCTACCAACATCAGATATCATAACCAATGGTATGACTACGAGGGAGGAGACAACTGAATTAGAAACAACTGAGGATTTTACTTCAGATGTAACATCAACTGCTCCCTTAACAACAGATATCACCACCATTGGTATGTCTACCGAGGAGGAGACAACTGAATCAAGAACTACTGAGGGATTCACTTCAGACTTTACTTCAACTGGGCCTTCAACATCAGATATCACCACCGATGGTCTGACTACCAAGGAGGAGACAACTGAGGGATTAACCTCAGATATGACATCTACTGCTCTACCAACATCAGATATCACAACAAATGGTATGACTACGGAAGAGGAGACAACTGAATTAGGAACAACTGAGGAATATACTTCAGATGTTACATCAACTGCTTCCTTAACAACAGATATCACCACCAATGGTCTGACTACTGAGGAGGAGACAACTGAATTAGGAACAACTGAGGGATTCACTTCAGACATTACTCCAACTGGGCCGTCAACATCAGATATCACTACCAAAGGTATGACTACAGAGGAGGAGACAACTGAATCGGGAACAACAGAAGAATTCACCTCAGATGTTACATCAACTCTGCCGTCAAATTCAGATATCACTACTAATGGTCCGACTACCGAGGAGGAGACAACTGAATCAGGAACAACAGAAGGATTCCCTTCAGCCATTACTTCAACTGCTCCCTTAACAACAGATATCACCACCATTGGTGCAACAACCCCAGGAACGACAGCCGGAACAACACCTGGAACAACGCCTGGAACAACACCAGGCACAACACCAGGTACTACACCAGGCACCACACCAGGTAAGATCAAATTGTTTTTGGTTTTAAAGACAGACACATTACTGTACTTTAAAGGAGTTGGGTTTTCTGAATGTCATGTGGCCAGTGCCTTTGTAAGAAGTGTGAACATTTGTCATTTCTAAAGCCAAACAGCAACTGATAATCAAGTAAACACAGCGCAGGTATCTTGAATATAGGTATTTAGTTCTATATCAAAACATATAACTTTTGATGTTTTCCCTCAGGAACAACTCCCGGAACAACACCTGGAATCACTCCAGCTACAACACCTGCAACAACCCCAGGAACGACAGCCGGAACAACCCCTGGAACAACGCCTGTGACAACGCCAGCTACAACACCTGGAACAACGCCTGGAACAACACCAGGCACAACACCAGGTACTACACCAGGCACCACACCAGGTAAGGTCAAAAAAAAAATTGTTTTTAAAGAGAGACACATTACTGTATTTTAAAGGAGTTGGGTTTTCTGAATGTCATGTGGCCAGTGCCTTTGTAAGAAGTGTTAACATTTGTCATATCCAAAGCCAAACAGCAACTGAAAATCAAGTAAACTAAGCGCAGATATCTTATTTAGTTTTATTTCAATACATATAACTTTTGATGTTTTCCCTCAGGAACAACTCCCGGAACAACACCTGGAACCACTCCAGCTACAACACCTGCAACAACCCCAGGAACGACAGCCGGAACAACCCCTGGAACAACGCCTGTGACAACGCCAGCTACAACACCTGGAACAACACCTGTAACAACACCAGGCACAACACCAGGTAAGGTCAAATATTTTTTGGTTTTAAAGAGAGACACATTACTGTATTTTAAAGGAGTTGGGTTTTCTGAATGTCATGTGGCCAGTGCCTTTGTAAGAAGTGTTAACATTTGTCATATCCAAAGCCAAACAGCAACTGAAAATCAAGTAAACTAAGCGCAGATATCTTATTTAGTTTTATTTCAATACATATAACTTTTGATGTTTTCCCTCAGGAACAACTCCCGGAACAACACCTGGAACCACTCCAGCTACAACACCTGCAACAACCCCAGGAACGACAGCCGGAACAACACCTGGAACAACGCCTGTGACAACGCCAGCTACAACACCTGGAACAACACCTGGAACAACACCAGGCACAACACCAGGTACAACTCTCGGAACAACGCAAGCTACAACACCAGGAACAACACCCGGAACAACTACTGGAACGACACCTGGAAGTTCGCCAGCTGCGACACCGGGAACAGCCACAGAAACAACACCTGGAACAAATGCTACGACACCGGGAACAACAACTGGAACAACATCTGTAACAACGCCAGGTACATCACTCGGAACAAAGCAAGGTACAACACCAGGAACAACACCGGGAACAACATCTGGAACAACACCTGCATCAACGCCAGAAACAACACTCGGAACAACGCAAGGTAGGGGGGTTCAATCCCCCGCCCCGCCCCCCTCCCGCCTCCTGCGTACGCGCCTGCATTGTGGGAATTATCCAAACCACCGTCATTCTCCGATTTACTATCTGAAGATATACGGTTCAAAGACTCACACCTGCTAGCTCCCTTGAAATATTCGGGTGTTTGGCTATTCAATATTAAAAAAACACAAATCTGAAGAAAATTGCGAAACAATTTAAGTTTGCTCTCAAATGAAGATCCTTATACCCACGTCAATGAAACTTAGCTGACTAATGTATCCATACACATGAAAACTGTCCGCCAATTTTAGTAATTTTTGATGACGTCAGCGCAGAGTTATCACCCAAAATTATGATTTTAATATGCATTACGTAACATCCCGTTAAATGCGTGCAGTAAATTGGACGCAGATTGTAATGGTGTCAAACTAACCGGTATGAAATGACATTTGGAATAATACCTCATATAGTATATGTTTACACAGAAAATGTTGAGTAAATCGCATATGAACAAGGGTCATCATTCGAATTCCGCCGAGTTTCCGTCCGATTATAACACTTTCGGCTATGACGTCATTTTTTTGGTCTGCTCCCCCCCCCCCCTTCCCATCCCTTTTCTCCTTCAAATTTTGCAGTTACAGTCCGAGTTGCAATACGCAGAGCACCTTGGAGCCATATAGGGGGCCGTTTTATACGCCATTTTATACTCTGCTTGATTGTGTTAGTATATGTCGGCTGTTTGTGCCAGTGCACGCGTCATCACGTGTTCCTTATACACACAAATCCTTTTCGTTTCGCACGCAGTGCTTGCGAGCCATTTAAAGATCTTTGCCTCTATCCCATTTTTTCAAACTTCGTAGGCATAGTCTCTAGCATCCCATCAAGTTCACTGAACTCTTCGTTCTCCGGTATCTCTCATTGGAAACGCAGCCATTGTTATCTTGGCATGCATTGAAGTCATCAGAATAGGGGTTAGGGTTAATGTTATCTGGAATTATACACTCTCTCTCTTACTCTTTATATCTCCCCCACTCTCTCTCTCTCTCTCTCTTTCTCTCTCTCTAACCCTCTTTTTGTAATGTTAACCCCTTCTCTTTCACTCCCAGATTATGTTGTATGTAACCGTGAATTGAATTCGTATCTAAGTAAACTATTTTTTGTTATTTGGATAGCATATTAAATCTATGTACATGTATGTGTAGATGCGATTCCAGTAAGAGGAAATCAAGATATTGTATGTAAGTTTACTAGTGCTATATAATTAGTACAGACTTAGACTACTTGCTAGTTCTTTGAATATTGTAAGAACTTAAGAATATGAGTTGTTAAAGGTGTTTTCAAGCTCATTAAACATTACTGAGCTTAGCGCCACAATTTAAATTCCTTTGAAAGGAACTGGACTTTTCGCGCTAAGTGTTTTTGAGCATTATACCATTTATATGATAATACTGCGTCCATTTTCACATTGAATTCGATCCAAAATGAAAAATTACTTGCTTTAATGATTATTTTTTTCTAGCATGGGCATATAACATAAAATATTTTCTTTCAAAGACCACGATTTTGGAAAGGATTTGATCATTAAAAGAGATATTGAGTTCATTTACATCATCAGATTTATTGAGAAATAGTATTATAAATGAAGTTACTCTACCTATATCTTCACCGATCTAATTTAAGATTTGATATTCCTGTTTTCATTTTCCCTTCTTTTTTCCAGCTGATTGCGGTGCCTCTGTTTGCCAGAATGGCGGAGCATGCATAAGCTCTGGAAATTGTGAATGTATTACTGGTTTTACCGGTAATATGTGCGAAACAAGTAAGTATCCACCCCCTCCCCACATTCGAAAAAAGAAGTATATATATATATATATACAGCGCGTCCCAGAAAAGAAAAACGAAACCGAGAATTATCGATGTTTTATCATAACTTAATCACAATTATAATTAATAAATGACACATACAGTGTGAGTCAAAAAAGTTTACACCTAGAAAATTGATAATTATTTTAAAAATCATCTATGAACAGTAAATTATTATACAACTTATGAAAGAGTGTTTTATCCCGAATCATTTGGTATCATTTTTGTGGGGTATGTGTTCACGCGTAGGTGAACAGGAGGCATTGTTTGCCTTAAGTCAAAATGCGACTTTGGCCAAAGTTGCTTATGTGATATTTGAATATAACAATTCGGATTTGGGTATTAATTCGGTCTTTGCAAATCCAAATAACATCCCTACCAAAATTAATCATGCCACACATATCAAATATCAACGAACATTTTGTGCGCGCGTGTGTGTGTGTAACCTTGCTTCTGCAGAAAGCATATGCAATGCATTTCATTTAATAAATTAAATTTCATTCTCTCACTCCGCTAATCCAAACATAATACATACTGTAGGCATCACTTTGGCGCAAGTCGATTTTTGCACTCTCGCAAACAATGCCTCCTGTTCATCCAAGCGTGAACACATACCACACAAACGTTAAACCAAATGATTTGGGATAACACACTCTTTAATAAGATGTATAATAATTACTGTTCATAGATTATTTCTAAAATAATTGGCCATTTTTTAGGTGTGAACTTTTTTTTTGACTCACACAGTATTGGTAAAGCTGACATCTTCCTCTTTTATTGATGCAACTCATAAGATGCATATTTCACGCATGCTCGTTTTAAAAAAAATTGAAGAGAGGAAACCAAAAAGTCATTTTTCTGTTCAATTAAGCACTAAAAAAAAGATATTTACCCAATTTCTACTGAATGATGCAAAACGAAATGACATAATTTTCGAGCGCACACGGATGCAATTTTTCACACACATAGTATTCTAAAGACAACAAATTTATGCAGTGATAATCTGGGAATATTTATATCCAATTTGAATAGAAATGAACTGCCTAATGTCTTTTGTTCAATGTTTACAAAGAATGTCAATATTCATTATTATAATTTTTAGTTTCAGGCTCAAAACGTTGGAACTCTCTTTTAGATCCAGTTAGAAAACAACCCACATATTAAAGTTTTAGTACAGGGTTCGAAAATAATTTAATACAAAAATACATGTCTCCTGCAATTTAAAATTTTAGGATATGGGTAGACCTCTCACATCTTCCTTGTTTCACACACACACACACACACACACACATTCTCTCTTCTTCTAATTTGTGTAGTGTGCAGCTTTGTTTTTGTCTTGTTTTGTCCTGTAATGTCTCGTTTTGTCTTTTCCTGTTATATCTTGTTTATCTTGTCCTGTTATGAATTGTTTTGTCATGTCTTGTCTTATATTATTATGTCAGTTTCCTGTCCATTGTGTCCTGTTGTATATTTCGTTTATTTAGGCACTTTCAAAGGGTTTATGACAATGTGTTATTATATCACAATGATTTTACTGTGATTATTAAGACACTTAAATATGACTTATGGATATGATGTTCATATTATATTTATTCTTGAGGAGCCTACTAAAACAAGCTATGCTTTCTACTAGGTTCCTGTTTCATTTCATAAATTTTGAAGTTACTTTGTCAACTATGTTCTTTATTGTGCAAATAGTTGATATATGAAATGGAATAAATTCGAATCAATCAATCAATCAATAATATTTATAGTGCAGCGGCTTAGCAAGAAAATTGTGCAATTTTTGAGAAAAGGATGAAACTTCTAACATAGTTAGCTTTCATCATAAGATTTATTTTCAGATGTGAAAAGAAGTCAGATTTGACCTCTGATGAACCTGAGAGGTCACATCCAAAATGGCCAACAGTCCGCATGATCTAATGTACAAACACGCTTAACTTTTGAACCAAATAGGCCAACAAAACGTTTAAGGTGTAATTTCCAACTAAATTGGGGATGCCAATTCATTTGGTAATACTTTTGAAATCGTGAGAACTCAGTGATTTATACTTAGGTCAAGTCAAATTAGGCCAAAAAGTTGATTTGAAAATAGGACTCTATTTTGACCCATGTACCACCACTTTGACTATCCAGGGTCAAATTTCATAACGCTGCTTAACGGCCGATTCTGTGCTTACGTACGACTTTTAACTTCATAGCGCTGCTAACCGTAAGTACAACAAAATGCAGGCTAACCTTAGGTGCTTACTGCAATGAATTATGTAACAATGCAAATCCATTGTGAACGCGAAAGGTGGACGCCTTGTTTTCCTGCTCACCTGTGAGACCTTGCTAACCTGCTTAAGCAAATCTTTCTGCTACAGTTAGCACAACAAATTGCTTACCGGTAAGCCGCTTTATGAATCGGGCCCAGAAGACCTCAAAAGCTATTCCAAATACGACCTAAAACCTGTTCATTACCACAGCTATAGATATCCACATAAATTCAGCCCTGTCCACAACTTATGAGTATCCTAATGGTATCAATAACAAATTAACAGTCTCCAGAACAAGAGCACAGTGTAGTGCAATTGAGTGCAGCTTTGACACATTTGCAACGTTCAGTGTACCCTTCCTTGCAGCGACAGTGGATCAATTCATGGCACGATTTTGATGCCTCCGGGAGAGTGGTCCAAAGTGGCTGCCACCAAGTTGTTTCGTTTGTCCAGCCCCAGTCATATGGCTATGGCATCTCTGGATTTTGGGCCAATGTTTGGTTCCAACATTTGGCCTGGTAGCAAGTGCGCTTGATATACTGATTGAGTGCTGCCTGAGTTGGAGGAATGTTCTCCAGGTTTCTAGACTTCTGTGCGGAGAGCTGTTTCCTGGCATCATTCAAGCTTTCGTTACATGGCTGTTCACGAAATGGTTGCCACCATGAGTTCGACACAGTGTAAGACACAGTGTATGTTTGTGTACTGCTCCTCACCGAGGATCTCTAACTCCAAACCGCATTTTCCCTCCAGTTGACAGGGCTACCTGGTTTTCATGGGAGAAGAAATTGTCCATGTCTCCATCCCGTGTCTGACACAAATACAGCCTCAAAAAAAGACCACAGTCACTCTTAAATTCTGCGAGCTATGCCTTCTGTTTTGACATAAGCTTGGCCAGCTGCCGTCTGAAAAGTGGCAACTTGTACTTATGAAGTGTTTGTGTGACAGGTGGTGTGCACTGCTGTAGCCTTTCTCTCACAAACTTTGGGTACTGCTCCTCACCAAGGATCTTAATCCTTCTCAACGTTTTAGCCACTTAGGTATCCGTGATGTTGCTTGTGTCAATGACTAGTATTTCTTTACTTTGTTCTAGAAGTAGATTCCCCATCTCTTTCAATACTGTTACAAGTGCCTTAACATCCCTGATTGATTGATTAGGTGATTGATTGGGACGTATTTCGTGACGAATGTGATGACATATATGACTAACGGATACAATAAATAGTTATGTCACCTTCTGTGAAGACTTACACATTCGATCTAAAGAAGCCAACATTTATCCTAATGGTGAGCCCTGGTTTAATGGAAAGATAAAAGCAACCATACAGGAAAAGAAAAACGAGTTTAAGAATGGAAATCATGATCGGGTGAAAGAACTGATTGGAGAAATAAAAAGACAAGTCAGTGAAGCAAAGCGAAAATACGGAGAAAAGTTGGAATGGTGCTTTAAGACAAATAATCCAAGGAATGCATGGAAATGCTTAGAAGCAATGACGGACTATCGGTCCAGAAGATCGCTTCCTTGATCGCTTGTCTGTTAACACACTCAAAGTTAGACCCCGTCCGGTCTAGGGAGTGAGTGATAACGGGGTCTAAGAGTGGCATATTTTATCCTGATTATAGCGATTTAGCCTTTGGCGCTCAGGAGTATTGACGCTCAGATCTTGTTATGACATTTCTGCGTCCATAACCTTATTCATTTATCACCAAAGGGAAGGTCACTTGTTTTACTCACCTTTCTTTTAGTTTTATTGCAGGGGCACACCGAATTTTGTCAAACAATGCGATTTTTTGATATTTTTTTTTTTAAAGATGGAAAAAGATTTAATTCATAGCCTGCCATAAGGCTGCAGGCACGCTATTGTTAAGGTGCTTTGTACACGCTAGCAAGCTATTGCTCCTCTGCTTCTTGCATGATTGCACGCAAATGTAATAGCAGTTATTGTTCATGCCCATTGGACTGTGCCTAGTGTTTTGCACGCGCTATTCATAGAACCATCGCGTTAATCATATTATCTCCAAAACAACCTGGCATGGAGGGGATTAGCCTGAGGATAAGAGTTTACCATTACAAAGAGATATTTGGTTCATTTACTTTAGATGATTTATTTATCAGTAGTTTTATGAATTAAGTAATTCAGTACGCGTCATACCAAAATTTGTTAAAAGATGGGAGTTGCTGCTACCTGGTTTGGCGTTCAACAATAAGGGATGGAGCAACGTTCACCCCATATTTCAATTATTGTAAGATTAGTTGAATATCTCATTGATTTACGTAATACCCAGATAGGGATTATGTAAATTGAATATTCAAATACGGTTTGTTGAAAAAAGAAATGTCCAAGATGTCGGCTACTTATTCTTCAGGTATATGGTAACCGAAATGTGGGGTGAAGATTTTTTATTCAAAGTCACAGATGTACAAAAATAACAGTTTGTTACATGGTAAATACAACATGTACCATCATCCCATCCTGACTACCATGAAGATACCACTGAGTCTACCAGGGGAAGTTACCATGATATAATAAAAAATGCAATTCATGTTCACTCATGCATGCAAGTTTGGTTTAATAAACCATGACATTCACTCAGCAAATCATGAATGTATCATATCACCCGCAATTTTGTAAGCTCCAAAGGATTTACCTCTCACAAATTGGAAGGCTCATTCCTGCGCAACCTAATTTGCATACCCTTTACAAAAGTGAGCAGTGCTCACCCAAGCATGAATTATTTTCGGACTTTTTGGTGTCGTATGAACGTAGAGCTCATGAGCTTTCCATACATATGAAACTTTTTCCCCGGAATTATATAATTTGTATTCGGCAGCCATTTCAAAAGTGTATACTTTTTTGGGGACGCACGGTATTGAGTGACTAATTGACATCCTTTTTTTCTTTGGTAATATCATACATAAAATGAGCTGTAACAGGTACATGAGCATGTCTAAATCAATAACCCACTAGTTGTAATGGCCAAAATTAAACTGATTAAATCTTTGTGCAGCACAAGATGGACGACCATTCGATAAAAGGGTCTGAAAATCAGACTATTACTTAGGTGATTGCAATCACTTAAGTTGATTCGACAACTAATGGTCGTTATTTTCCAACTAAAATTTTCAAGCCCTTTCGTTTTAAGGGAAGTTCTAAATTAGTATTGTCTTTCAAATGCCGTTGGAATTTAACCTTTTCAGTTTGTTGGATCTGCTAATGGGACATATAGTACCTTGAATGCAGTAAGTCTGAAATAGTATGGTTATTTTTAATTTCGAGTTTTTTTTTCTGTCGTTGTTGTCTACTTGTTTGTCTTTTAGTCTCAGTTTAGTTTTATTCTATTTTTTAAGTTTTGTGTTATTGTCAACAAAATGTTTGAATTCATCTTTATTATTGACAGATTATTCTGTTTGATTACTAAGCTTCCTTTAAATATTTGTTATGGTACATGAATATAGAACTTAGCAATTAATTAATCATTTTATTGTCTAGGCCAACAGGGCCAATGTGGAAAGCAGTTTGTAACTGACAATGCTCCTCTGCGAGAATAAAACAATAAATAAGAAATGATTAAATAAATATTTATTTGGTTTCATTAAGTTCAAATAGGAATTCACTAGAATATTGATGGCATGTTGGACAATAATTCACTTTTATATTATGATTATTTTAAAATAAACATGAACGGGCGATTTCAAGGCTATGCAATGTTAGTCGAAAATATTTTTTGCACCGAAAGTCTTGTCTTTGTTGTAATGCTTATATCTAAATGAAGACGATAGAGTAGATATATTCATTTGTTTTAGGTTGGCCTTTTCCCAAAGCAATAATACTATACATTCTTACCCTACTAGACAGTCAAACCATTTTCATCTCCCTCGAACTCGCACCGTTTTTGCTAACAAAACAATTATTTTTACTGGACCCAAATTCTGAAACAGCCTGAATAACGAAATAGTTGAAAGCCCCTTCATTAATTCACTTAAACGAAAGCTCAGGTGCTTCCTTTTAAGTAAGTATGTATAAACGTAATGTTGATATCGCGCTGGATCGTACAGGTGGTCGTACAGGTGGTTATACAGACTTTGTTTTTGTTATTTCACAATGCCATTGATTTCATCAATTTGCTTTCTCTTATTCTTCTGCTGCCTCTTCTTCTTCCACTTCTTCTTTCGTCTTCCTCTTCTTCCTCTTTCTTCCCTTCTTTACTTTCTCCTACTTATCACTATTATATTATTCTCGTTAATCTTTATTTCTATTTCTCGTTTCTTCTCAAATTCACTCTCCATGTACGTCTCTTGAATCTCATACTATACTACTCCGTTTTCGCCTCCTATAATACCTTTTAAATCCAAACCTACTATATTGTGTTACTCAGTACGGGAGCCTATTCACATACAAGCTATGCTTTTCATTTAGGCTCCCCACATTTTACATTTTTCTACCCAGCCTGTTATATATAAATACATATTTCGAAATTTCGTTCTTAATTTCCGTACATTATATTTGATCTGAATTCTCTAATTTTCGTTCCTGTTTTCACTAAGTGACGGTAGTGAGGAAAATCTGCACGCAAATTGTATGGGATTATCATTCACTACCGTCACTTCGTGAAAATAGGGACGTTTTGATTATTTTTTTTTTCTTGTGTGAAATCTATTCTTATCATAATATACGCCTGTATGAAAAAGAAAAGAATATAAACTGTTTTTCTATGTAAAATGTGGAATAAATAAATAAATAAATAAAAAATAAACAAATAAATAAAAATAAATATATTTGTATATAGCAGTTGTGAAACATTTGTTTAAACAGCCAGAAATCATTTATTTTTACACCAACTTTTTTGAAGATGGAGTTGGATCATACGATTATAATGATATATGTATTTTTATATTAATTCATGTATTCGTTCATTTGTTATTTATATATTAATTTTCCCATTCATTCACCCATTCATTTATTCATTCATTTATTAATTTATTAATTTATTAATTTATTAATTTATTTACCTATTTACAAACATGCATTCATTTAATTTTATTTTGTGTATACAATTCAACCAATAGATATCGACGATTGTTCTTCCAATTCGTGTACGAATGAAGAAACTTGTACAGATGGAATTAACTCTTTCACTTGTGCTTGTGTTGGTGGCTATACTGGGAATCTGTGTGTTACGGGTAACGTTAATCATAGCATTTTCTCATCATTATATCAAAAGAAAAGTGTGATAGTTTTTTGGGGTGGAGACAGATGACGTAGAAACATTTAAATATACATCAATATCATCGTCTTTACATTGATTTTATATGTTTGCAACGAGTAAAGCAATGTTTGAAAACATTCTTGTAATTTAGGTTAGTAATAGAGGCTGGACATTATAGTGTTCCAGATGTTTGTTTGTGTTATTTTATTTTTTGATATAATACATTGATCTCAAAGACATCCAAAATGTCACAAATCTTTTCCCAATAGTTTTCAGGTTCTTGCACAATCCCGTTGCATGTCCTGAACTCAACCTTTGAAATAAGCTAATGACATACATCGTCAATATCAGCATCATCGTTATTATTATTGTTATCATCATTATTATCATTCTTCATTTTCTAATCATTTTTTATTAAAGTAACTCATAAGATCGTTTCATATTTTGATATTGCCACTTTGCCAATAGATATTAATGAGTGTGAGCTTGATTCGAGTCTCTGTAGTAATGGAAGATGTGTCAACTTGGTTGGAGCGTACACTTGTGTCTGCGACAATGGATTCATGTTAGCGAATGGGAATTCTTGCAATGGTATGTCTGTATACAAGTTTTTCTTTTTCCATTAAAAATGATTTAGGTTTCAAGACCAACTTTGTTGAATTCGAAAGACAGGAAGACAGAACCAAAACAGTTTGAATATCAAGTTCATTCGCTTTCATGCAGAATTAAATGAAGGCATAGTTCATTATTCTAATAGAAATTTGTATTTGTTTTTGGCCTGTGATTTCATACTTACATATTTCAAAATTGTATAACAATTACACAATTTTCTTTTTGAAGTATTCAAAATAATCCACACCAGACAGGATGTAGATGAGGTTTGGCAGTTCAATCTAGTGAAATTTTTGCATTTTTTCTTCATCTAATGTTAATTGGTCAAACCAATATACAGTTACCAACTGAATTATTCATACCCCTAATAAATTTATGATTCATTTTTGTTCTTCCTAGCTCATGATTGAAAGGTGGACTAGTGAAATTAGGGTCTCGTTGAATACTTTTAGATGTAAGCTTTGATTTGTCAAATCCTTGAAAAACGTTAATTAATACAAAAACAATTTATCAACTACTTAGACAAAGTACAGAAATTGGTAAGGGTATGAATAATTTAGTTCTTGACTTTACATGTATGAAAATGATTTGATACGATCCCTTATCAAATGTCTGACGAGGCTAGTAGTGCATACATCGTACACATTACCCTTTTAGTTTCCTGACGACAATAAAGCAAATGTATTAATGATTATTTTTATAGAGGAAACACATTGAAATATCTATACATAACTTGACTTCATGCCATTTTTAAAAACCTTTCTCATTATCAAGTTTTCTCAAGCGGTCTGTCCGCTAGTCGAGTGACTGCACAGATTACAGGACAAAGTCTGAATGGTCAAACCCTGACGTATACACCAGAATTAACCAATATATCATCGGCCGTATACATGGAATATGAAGTTGCATTCTGTTTCATTGTAAGTATGTTTTTCTTCACCAGTAAATGCTATAAAATTGATAACAACTTTGTAGTAGACGTAAATATGTACAAGTGGGTGCCTATTCAGCTTGCAAATCCAGCAAACAACATGCACACTAAATATATCACACTAAGATGTTTGTTCATATGTCAGGAAGTACAGTAGTCTACTGGAACTTTCTAATAAATGTTGGTTCCCCTGAAATTTGCTACATGAAGATCCATTATAAACAAGAGAGAATATACTTGTAATCTGTTTGTTTAAGCCTTAGCCTCTGAAGATGGTTCAAAAGGCTTTTTCCGACTTGCACGTCCATCCGTTCATCTTTTAAAGTTAACACATTAACAAAATTTACACGAAAAAAGTAAAAATTATTAGGTCATATAAAATCGCTATAATTTGAAAATGGTAAAGTGTACTATATTGGACTCAATTCTTTTGTGATTTGTGCTTTTTGTGCTCATGTATACTTTGTATTTCCTAGCATACTGGATCTAAAATCAAAATGAAAATGTCACTAAAAGGAAACACTGTACTGCTATAGCTTAATTTTTTTTCTTTAATTATTATTTCTGATCATTTAAATTATTCCAAAACCTAGAAGTAAGCATCAAATCGTGCGTGCTACATGATCAACCTTTCTTTATTGATTTGAGACAGTTTTTCTCATTTCATGACTGGAACTGCACTTTATCTATGAAAAATAAATACAAATACATCTATTTTCATGACCTACACTATAAATCTAAGCTTACTCTGATTATTGTTTTTTGTACTTTCTCATTTAACAGTTCAGTCAATATGTAAAAGGACAGTTAGGTTCTCAACTTGTCGGAGATAATAATTGCATAGTGCTGTCATTCAGCCCAGGTAGTGTAGTCGCTAACGTGCAAATGGAACTTACCGCTACCAGCCAAAGTGAAGTAGATGAGCTGGCTATGAGTTTTTCTGCTTTGTCTACCAACATTGATCAAATGTTATCAGCTCATGGTCAAACTCTTCTGTTAGCGTCTGTATGTACAAATGGTAAGAGTAAGACCCAGGCTTTTTTCACCAGCCATTCTTCCCTTAAGACACCTTACAAGAGGATATTGTATTTTTACATACAAAACATTATCTTTTTAGTTGTCAAAACAAATAATTTAGCTTTTTTACTGGGTAACTTGAAATGAGTATCTTTCAGTTGGTTGCAATGAATTAAAAGCCACTTTCGCAAATGACAGGCAATGCCAATGGATACAATCGATACGTACATTTCAGATGATTTTGGTATTAGAAAATAGTATGGCCTTGCCACTGTAAATAGTTTGTGATTTTAATTTGATGGTTCTATATTGTTTGGATTATCATATATAAGATTAATTGGTTATGAACTCTCTATCACTAAGGGCTGGAGTTAGTATTTGATCATCTGACGCACCCAAGTAATAAGATGTTGCTTTGAAGAAATCCTACAACAAACATCAAATGATGTTGGTTTTTAAAAACTTGTTTGTGACAAACCATTTTAGGCTTCAAATTATGATATCTTCGATTGAGCCATCATAAAAGATCGAATAAAAAATGGTTATGTTTCAATACTGAGGCATAGAGTTGGCGCACATAAAGTTTGACATTGTCCGAGTCATGTGACTCCTGTGCAGTTAACTGTGAAGAGATGCCCAACAAGAATAGTACCAAAGGAGGTAGGAGGAATGGCTCTACTTTTATTATATTTCATACTTAGAATACTATAAATAAGGCAATTTAAAAAAGGGTACACCTAATACACATGTCGAAGCACATGTACAATTTATTATTTGTTCATATTAAAGTAGTTATGGAGTTGTTGTTCTTTTTCTGTTTTACTGTGTATATCAGAAGTAATTTGAATCATTTATATATCTTTGAAATGAACAGTTCAGCCCGATCAAGCTGGTTTGACAGGAGACCTTTGCCAGAATGGTAAGTTGTGTGATGTCATTATCAATGGTCCTCAAAGAAATTTGGTTCAGACAATGGTTCGATTATTGTAATTATAATAACAAACTTTCACTCCGATACATGTTGTTATTCTGTTGTTTTAGTGGTTATGTGCTCCTTCTCACTCATTCTCCCTTGGCATATATATATATATATGGTTATATATAAAATATAACAAGAAATAGATGTGAGAGTACTCTCTTTTCTTTGCACAATCACCACTAATTTTGCGTACATGTACATGCATATTTCTATGCTCTTGTTTTTCATAATCGCATATTTGAAACAATTTTCCAGCTCCTCAAGGATTGTCGAATGGAGCAATCATTGGTATTGCTCTCGGAGTTTTTGGTTCTGTCCTCGTCCTCATAACCTGTGTCTGCTGCGTTTTCATACAAGTTGTCAGACGAAATCAAGCAACAAAATTGTTGCTCGCGTGAGTATTACAATAAATTTACAAATGAGCAAGTTCCAAGCTATTATTTCTCAACCACATCTATGATTTCAGTTTATCTGACGAGTGTAGAAAGAAGATAGCTCTACTAGAGCTTGAATCAGACAAAACATGAAATTAAATGTTATGTTTATGTTGACAATTCCATGGTGACAATGCCATAATACAATTCAATAATACTTAGTAGAGTATAAGACCTACATCTATATGTAATTTGTACTTGCCTGACATGTATCCAGAGGTGCGTAGCCGAGTGGTATAAGTCTAATTGAGATTGTATATTAATCATAGTCGGAAATTCTCCATACTACGATAATTTCCAAGGACCTTCTTTAACAATTCAATATTCGTTAACTTCCCCGGAAAATGTTTGAGAAAAAAGTAACGTTTTTGGAAAAAGCAACAAAATGTTACCATAAAAAGTTCATATTTTAATTTCAGAAAGGTTATTTTTTGGTGAAAGAAGTGAATAAACCAACAATATATTTTAGTACCTATTTTTAACAAAAAGCTTTATGTGTTAGTAATGATCTTAACAGTACAGAGAGTACATGTAATTGTTTTACTCATACATTACACCTCTCAATATAAAGATACTCCACATATTTTACAATTTTTCTCTTTATCGATCTATCCATTCATCTACATGTACTTCTTTAAAAATGTTTCTATCTACCTGCCTATATATGTTTATCTCCCTATCTACCTACCTACATGCTTTTTATCCATCTATCTCTCTACGTCTATTGATAATAATGATATTGTTTACCCGGGTTAGCCTTATCAGCTGGAATACTGTTCTTTCTGAGGGCCTGTAATTTCATTTCCCCCATTTAACTTCCTATCTTTCTACCTATGTAACTATCTACCTACCTACCTTTCTACCTATCTTTATATCAATCTGTCTACATACGTTTGCATAGCTCTATCTACCTATCTACATTTATCTATCTATGTAAATATTAACCTAATAGGTGGATAGGTACATAGATTGATAGATAGATAGATAAATGTAGATATGTACCTGTCTATCTATATATCAAACTGTCTGCCTCTATGTAACTACAAATCCCTTTCGATCTCTCTTTGAGATGCAGTGATCATCCGAGTAGACGAAATGGAGACTTCTACAGAAACGAATATTTGAATGGTTGTGTGGAGTACAATTCCTTTGAAGGACGCTGGTATACTATTGGTCAAGCATTGGATCGAATGCGAGAAACTGATGCGCTGGTATGAACAGTTTACTTATCCATGTGTTTAATTCTTTATTAGTCCTACACACAAAAAATGTTGTACTCCCCTTTGCCAGAACCTGGGTCTGTCGGTCGGATTTTTTCCCCTCAAAACAGCGACCTTCGCCTAAAGAACTAAAAAGCGGGAACGTCGCCCAAATCTCACTGGTTTCTCGCTAGTGCAGTACATTGTGTATACACGTACACGAGGCCGTGGTCTACTTGTTGACGCTAGCGGTATTTCGAAACCGTAGGCAGAAGTCGAGTGACAATTTGGGAATAATTTGATGATTTTCTGCATTTGTATACCATTTAAACAAACACAAGCATATCTCTTTTTTTTTTCTCTAAAAAAAAGTTTTAAAAAAAAGAATTATTAAAAAGCCGACTGCTGATTTAAAGATTTTTGGGTCGGTCGCAAAGGGCAATAAAACCTTGTTTTAAACGCCTAAATGATCACATTGAATAGACCAGTTTACTAACTCCTAGAATTTATGCATGTTTCTTCTCCGCATTACCAGCCATTTCATTTACCTGCTACGTGAACGCAATCTATGTAAAAAGCTAATAATGGCATAATGGAGTCCAATTTGCTGACATTAGCTCTTTTTATATCCTGCATCAAAAATTTGTTGGCTTTTGATTGGTTGAGAGCTCGTCACATGACCAGAAATATTTGTCTTATTTTTAGAAAGTACTATAATATAGTACTTTCTAAAAATAGGAAAATTTTGGAAAAAAATAGTACTCTCATATTATGAGAGTACTATTTTGGTTTACTATTTGGGGGGTGAAAAAAGTGATTTTTTTTTGTTTTAAATTGAATCAATCTTTTTTTTCAAATCTTAATTTAATGAAGAAAAAAAACATTTTTAATCTCTTAAGATAAAGATTGAGAATTTTTTTGTTCTAAATTTTTTTTTCCAAAATTTTTATTTTTTTTAAAATAAATTTTTGATGCAGGATATAAAACAAATATACCATGCCTTCTATTCGAGGTAATGGTTATAATATGGGCCTCGGTGACTCCAAAAGTACCATTTGCTTCGGGGCTGCGCCCCTCAGCAAATAGTACTATTGAAGTCACCTCTTGCGCATAGTTTTAACCAGAACCTCTCAAGGCAGTGTTTATTTGTATTCTATGTTGGACAACCCTCTGACAAGTTATTGAATATTTTTTTTCTCCAAAGAGTATACATACAATTATTAAACAGGTCTAGTGAATGTTTTTTGTGTAATTCTTTGTTCATGATGCATATAGGCTCATGATTATCTGTTTTTACATCAGTATCCTTTTGTGTTAATAATTTATAGAATTTTGTTTGAAAAACAAACAAATATAAAGTCTTTTTTATTGTTTGTCGTGCCAACAGCCTCATGAAGATCGCGATTTCAGGACTCCCTACGTGGTAGATGGGAGTGAAATGGTATGTAAAAGATTCTTTTCATTTGACAATTCTCTGCATTCGCAGTGTCATTGATCAGGAGAGTTTGGCCAATTATATTTGAGTTTAGCATCATTTGAGGGTCGGTCGCAAAGGGCAATAAAACCTTGTTTTAAACGCCTGAATGATCACATTGAATAGACAAGTTTACTAACTTCTTCAATAGGCCATTTTCGTAATGTAACCAAATTTAATGCATAAGTCTATGTAAAGTGCCTCAATACAAATTATTTCATTAACCTGATAAGAATAATAGCATTTCAATAGTCAGAATGCAAAATGCATATATTAAGTGTTTCTAGGTAGGTCAAGCCATAAAGTTTGTTCTACCTAGCAACAACTAATGTATACAGTTCAGATTCTGTCTACTGAAATACTTTTATGCTTATCATATCAGGTGAATGAAATAATTTTGCATTGAGGCACTTCACAAAGACTTATGCATTAAATTTGGTTACATTACGAAAGTGGCCTATTTTAATGTTTCTTCTACGCATTACCAGCCATTTCATTCACCTGCTATGTAAACGCAATCTATATAAATAGCTAATAATGGCATAATGGAATCCAGTTTGCTTACATTAGCTCTTTCTATGTTGGACAACCCTCTGACAAGTTATTGAATAGTCAAGAGAAACATTTTTTCAAAAAGTATGCATACAATTAGTAAACAGGTACAGTGAATGTTTTTTTTTTTTATGATGCATATAGGCTCTTGATTATCTGTTTTCACATCCTTTTGTGTTAATGATTTATAGAATTTTGTTTGAAAGAAACAATAAATATAGTAATTTTGTATTATTCGACTTGCCAACAGCCTCTTGAAGATCGCAATTTCAGTACTCCCTATGTGGTAGCTTGGAGTGAAATGGTATGTAGAAGATTCTTTGCATTTTGACAATTCTCTGCATTCGCGTTGTCATTGATCAGAAGAGTTTTGCCAACTATATTTTAGTTTTGCATAATTTTGCGAATACTACTTTGTTGGGCAAACTTAAAACAAATATACACCATGCTGTGACCAACTGAAATCGAGTTGGTCAAATACTAGTGTACAGATGGCTCTGGGTATTTGTAATACGGTATGCCACCTGTCAAATGTCGCTGGCCAATTTTCAACTTTTAGGCTCGACATGAAATCTGAGCTCTCTCGGCGGCTTTTTTGCGTGTCCTTTTCACCCACTGTATGTGGACATTTGATGCATAAAGAGTAGTCGAATGAAAATTCTTTCTGTCAAATACTATACGTGATTGGTATAAGTTACCCCTTTAGATTAGTAGGAAAGTTACTCTGGAAAGTTTTTTAAAGCTGCATTATCAAAATTCAATATGTCTCTAAGCACTTGTTGTTATATTATTAACTCGGTCATCGGATTCACGCTTGCAAGCACATCCCTACTCCTGAGGTGCTAGTATTTCAGCCAAGTGTCATTTCACAGAAACTCACAATGCTTAGCAAACTGCAGTGACTTTCGCATCATGCCTGGTACCCATTAAATACCTGGGTAGAGATTAGTAAATGTAAAGTGATTACAGCCAAAGGACATTATTTCTTGGCTTGGATTCGAACCCTCAACCCTTGCATGTACAGTGAATGAGCCACTATACCACGACACCTTCACTGTTGCATTTTGTCTCAGGAAAATGAACCATTCCCAGTCTTAATGTTTTGAAATTCCTTACACATACATGTAAAAATAAGTTATTTCACATTGCTCGTCATGTAACATTTTTGTCCTTTCTTTAACCCCTCATTTAATCCGTCTATTTTAAAGTGTACTAATAAACAGAACATAGATTGTTTTAAAGATTACTAGTTCCATGTCGTACTACTTTATTCCAAATATGAGCTTTAGAGATATTGCTTTAAATACTTAAACTTAAATTACTATAACACTCTCAGTTAATATACAAGCAACTTGTGAGTAGACCATGCCGTATGCAGTGCACCCGTTGCACGAAACCGAAGTCCAACTTAGGTTCCTCGTGCACTGTTTTATGTCCTTACCATTTAAACGTGATTCCATTAGATGCCTGGTTAAATGTTGAGGTTTGTTTTATTCATTATAGCAGTACATACGTTATTTGTGTTAAGTGATTGGTAAACTTTGATACCAAATGATATGCATTTCTTTCAAATTTTGATGTTATGTGTGTGTGTTTTATTCATTTTTGTTTTCTTCTTTATTACAGAGCAATAGTGTGGAGCAAAACCCAATCCATTATTGATCACAAGGAAACGTACTTACGGACAAATAACGAATATGACAACGGAACTCGGAAAAAGAATATTGTGAATTAGTTACATATCTCTTATGGATAGATGGGTTCTCTTCTGGATAGGCTAAATATCAAAGTGTATATAATCATATTATTAGATTAGTTAAGGCCTACTTGCACTTGACCGATTAACTGATTGGATTGATGTAATCATGCCAAGGTCTCTGTTACAAACAACTATACTATATTATAAATTAAGGGCTTACTTGAATTTGACCGATTAGCTGATTGAATTGATGATATCATCCTAAACTCACACCTTTCTAAAAAAACTGCTTTTCAGCAAGTCCTTGTTACAAACAAAAAACCGATTTATACAAATCAAATTGAATATAGGTACATGAATGTCAGTGTTAACATATTCTTTCTACCTGAAATGTATTCTAAAGAGCTGATTTTTATCTCAGGCTTTTAGTATGGACCAATATCAAGTCTTCAAAAAGTACAAATTGTCTATATTTTTATTGCAATTGCTTATGTTAGCGGGGAGTATAACATCCCCCTCTCTCTCTCCCTCTCTCTCTCTCTCTCTCTCTCTATATATATATATATATATATATAAGTACATATATTAGATGAATACACTCTTTAATGTTTTTGATTTTGTATCAATAGATTTAAATGCATATGATGTAGAAAGGGATCAATCCAGGGCGCGAAAACAATATAAACCGTAATTTTTAATCTTTCATTTATGAATATAAATAACACTTTTTACCTCTTGCGCTTATACTCATGACATTTTGCCAGGCACCAAAGTGACCCTTTGATATTCTTAATACCAAAGTGTATACAATCATATTACTTTATTAATTAAGGGCTTATTTGCATTTGACCGATCGACTGAATGAATTGATGTAATCATGCTAAGTCTCAGGTACAAACAATCATACTATTAGATTAAAAATGCTGCTTAGGGTTAGGGTCAGCAAGTCTTTGATACAAACAAATATATAATGATATAGAAATATTTAGAAGATAAGATAAGCATAACATAAATTGAATACGATCTTCTTTCTCTGTGAGAGTATAAGGGCTGCATTGTTAATCAGGAAGGGTCTGGTATCATATCTTTATTGATCAAGTAATTTATATTTATCTTAAAAAATATCATAAATGTGGTATTTGAATGGATACAGGCTAATTAACACCCTCAATTTAAATAAGACTAATTTTATGCTGTTTAGCAACACATAAATTACTCTTCCAGGGCAGGTTCAAATAAATGGACTAAGTTTGGCCCAGACCAATTCCACGAATTTCTCGGCCTGTACATTAACAGTAAAAGTAAATTATCATGGAATGTTCATATTGATTATTTGTGTTAAATTCTGTCAAGAAATACACGTATTTTATATTAACTGAAATGTTATTTTCCTTCTCATGGAATGCACATCTTATATGGTACATTATTATCACCCTATCAAAATTATGGTATATTAGCATGGGGGAAATGTTCAAGGGTATTAGTATTGATAAAATGTTCATTATTAAAAAAAGATCAATACGAACAATTAACTTTGCTGATTTTTACTCGCATACTGATGGATATTTTCGTACTGACAACATACGGAAAATATCTGATTTGTACTATTTTTGTCTTGGCATCTTCATATACCAGCTTAACAAAGGTGGCTTACCCAGTGTCTTTACTCATAAAAAAACAATGCCGTCCACTCATATCGCAACAGACGAATTGATCATTTTCACCTTTTCCGTGTCCGCACTGTATTTGCACTAAAAACAATAATCCATTCAGGACCAACATTTTGGTAGGCGCTGAACAGGGAGATAAAAAAATCCCCGTCGTTGAATTGTTTCAAGCCCAAGTTTGAACTGTCCTTTTTGAATTTATATGACCCGCATTATAATTCAAGTACTTATGATATTCTACATTGAACATTCCAGCCTTGTCCGATAATTATGTTCTGATGCATGCGCGCCTGTCCTCGGAGGGCCCTTGGGAATGCGCACGTTCTCGCCTAGATGTGTCGGGTCCTTGTTTTTCTTGCTTGGGACGTCAGCATGAATCAGTTGTTTCTAGGTTGGCAAGCCATGTAGCTTGTCCGGCCTGGCAACGGCTGTTGTAAACTGATTCAAGCGAGATGATACTGCGGGGAAGGCGTGGGGCGTGGCGCAGGTGAATGTGTTTGCGTGCCTTAGTGCACTCTGGGAGCAGACGTGCATTGATTTAAATGCATGTTGGAAACTGTGGATTGTGTCTGGGCAACGACCTACATATTATTTTTTATTAAACTAAATCATGATTGTTCTTTTATACTGCCTCGCTCGAGTGCGGACCTCGATCAATGACCTCGTTCAATGACCTCAATATTTTAAAATGACTAACGCGCGATTTTTCTTCTTAACAAATTAATTTCTTTGCTGTATTTGCTATTTTTGCTTGTTTCACTTTGTATATCATCTTATGTTAAGGCCTTATTATGGTTACGTCTTTCACCATTGCAACCACTTCAATCAAATGATAGTTTTATTTATGGGAACCTATAATCTACAAGCTGAGCTTTTCAGTAGGTTCCTCACATTTTACCCTGTAAAATCTACTATTCAATACAATTAATTTCGACGTCTTTTCAAAAGAATCGATTATAAAATGTGACACTTTTATTATTTTTCATTTTATTTTCTAATTTTGTCAATTATGTAAATTCTTATTTGTGAAATGTGAAACAAAATAAACTTTAAACTTGGAACATATGCTTTCATTCTAACTGTTATCTAAAGGGTCGATTCCTATCACATGGTTTTATTTGAACCAAGTTTAAGTATTTAAATAGTACAAATTTTCTATAGTTTTATTTCAAATGCTTATGTTACCGGGAAGTATAACATCCATTCTTTCTCTCTCTTTCGTTATATATATATATATATATATATATATATTAGATAAATACGCATTTTAATTGAAATGATTTTGTATCTATAGATTGAATTTCATGTTATGTAGAAGAGGGCTATAGGGTTAAGTGTAAACAAAACTTTTACTTAGGTCCTACTTCTTATTCTGGAACGTCTCGCTACAATAATGATGTAGAAATGAATTGGGTTAAAAACAAAAGAAAAACATGAATGTACGTCTGATGTATTAAAAAGAAAAGGTATTCAATGGATGTGCCATGTAGCACAATGACAAGTAAATTTATTAACGCACGCATACTTCCTTTTGTCATTGCCATTTGAAAATATGAAGTATTATGTTCTAAAAATGTAATATATCATTTGTTAATGTCTATATTCATGTTCCTCCAAGGCTATTCATTATAAAGTACTAGGGTTTCTCCTTATAAGTCTTTTCGTTTGAAGGCTGTATGTTTGCATATATTTTTGTTCGTATGATATATATTTTTTTATTGATACATATTTTTCCTTAGATATATATTTTTCATAGGATCACGTGTAATTGAAATAAATGTTCCAATAGGGAAGACTGCTGAATATTTATTTGATTCCATGTGTGATTCATACAGTATGTTTTCAATACAGACAATTTAAGACGTGTGTGTATACTACACTGATGGTCAAAAAGGTGGAATAATTATTTTTACCCAAATTTGTCTAATGATTTCGAAAATTATTCATTCCTATTAGATCTAAGTGATAGTTTACATTCTCAGATTTATTGAATAATAATTTGCGAGTGTTTGTTTTACGTGACTGCTAAAGCACGTGGGTGCTAATATGCTAATTAAATAGGGGACCTACGTCCTTAAGTCATAACTGACAGTAATGAGGATAATGTCTCACGAAAGGGCACTAATATAGTTGATCGACACAATTCTGATCCTGGGGCCTCACAGTTACAAGGTCATTGCTTAGTCACTTAATCATAACTGTACGCAGCGGGGGGGGGGGGGGTAGGGTACGGGGCCGCCCAACAAATAAAAAAAAAATGCAATAAATTATCAATAATTCATTGCATTTTCCTCCGGTCCCCAACAGGAAATATTCCTCAGTAGAGGCATGCATTATGGTTCAAGGCATGGCCACACAAAGGATTTATTCCTGTCGGGTATCGGGGCAAAATGCAATCAATTATTGATAATTGATTGCATTTTTTTTGTTTGTCTTTTTGTATTTGTGGGGGTAGCCCCGTCAGTGGCTAACCAATTGCCTCGTTACTGTGACGCCCCATGATCAAAACCGTGTCGATGTGCAATATTAGTGCCCTTTTGTGAGGCATTAATCCTCATTTCTGTCAGTTACGACTTAAAGACGTAGGCCCCCCTATTTAATTAGCATAGTAGCACACACATGCTTTAGCAATCACGCAAAACAAACACTTACAAATTATTATTCAATAGAATCTGAGAATGTATATCATTATCTAGATCTATTAGGGATAAATCATTGTCAAAATCATTCGATAAATTGTGGTAAAAATAATAATTTCATCATTTTATTTTATTCATTTTATTATAGTTTTATGTTTTACGTTTCATTAAATTATTAGAGAAAGAAGTCGATTTGTTGTACCGTTGTCGACTCTTAATCCTCGTCCAAATCAATATGAAGAAAAAAAACACGAGGTAGAAGGGCATAGCCGGGAATCGAACCGAGTACATCTGTATTGTGAAGCGATGTCTTATCAACAAGACCACTGTGCTTAACTGATATTAACTTGTTCTGTTCAAAATGTTAACACTTTCTGATGTTAATGACTTTAAAAAAATATGCTGATAAACTACTTGTACTCCTTTTTTTGAGGAGGGGTTGGCCCCTAAACAAAAAAAAGAGATGAATAAAAAAAAACGCAAAGTAGAAAGCCGTAGCCGGGAATCGAACCGAGAACATCTTCATTATGAAGCGATGTCTTATCCACAAGACCACTGTGCTTCACTGATAATAACCCGTTCGGTTCAAGATGTTAACACTTTCTGATGTTAAAGACTTTAAAAAGATATGGTGATAAACTACTTTTACTCCTTTGTTGAGGAAGAGGGGGTGTCCCCTAAAAAGAAGAAGAGAAGGACAAATCAATATGAATAAAAAATGATTAACCAAACACGAGGTAGAAAGGCGTAGCCGGGAATCGAACCGAGTACATCTGCATTGTGAAGAGATG